TACAAAACACTTCTCACACAAATAAAGTCAGATCTAAAAAACTGGAAAAATATCAATTGCTCATGGGCAGGCCAAGCTATTATGAAAAAAAAAATGAAAATTCTACCTAAATTAATTTACCTATTCTGTGTCATACCAATCAAACTACCAAAAATTATTTTATAGAGCTACAAAAAAAATAACAAAATTCATCTGGAAAAGGTCAAGAATATCAAGGGAATTAATCAAATGCAAATGCAAATTAATGAAATGCAAAAGAAATGCAAAGGAAGGTGGCCCAGTGTACCAGATCTAAAACTATATTAAAAAGCAGCAATCATCAAAACTATTTGATACTGGCTAAGAAATACAGTGGTGGATCAATGGAATAGATTAGGTACATAAGACACAGTAGTAAATGATTATAGTAATATACTGTTTGATAAACCCAAAGACTCCAGCTTCTGGGATAAGAACTCACTATTTGACAAAAACTGCTGGGAAAACTGGAAAATAGTAAGGCAGAAACTAGGCACAAACCAACCTCTCACACCATATACCAAGATAAGGTCAAAATGGGTACATGATTTAGACATAAAGGGTGATATCATAAGCAAATTAGGAGAGCAAGGAATAATTTACCTGTCAGATCTATGGAGAAGGGAAGAATTTATAACCAAACAAGAGACAGAGAATATTATGAAATGCAAAATGGATAATTTTGATTACATTAAATTAAAAAGGTTTTGCACAAAAAAAACCAATGCAACCAAAATTAGAAGGAAAGCAGAAAGATGGGAAGCAATTTTTACAGCAAGTGTTTCTGATAAAGACCTCATTTCTCAAATATATAGAGAACTAAGTCAAATTTATAAAAATACAAGTCATTCTCCAATGGATAAATGGTCAAAAGATATGAATAGGCAGTTTTCAGTTGAAGAAATTAAAGCTATCTATAATCATATGAAAAAATGCTATAAATCACTATTGATCAGAGAAATGCAAAACAACTTTTAGGCACCACATCACACCTATCAGACTGGCTAATGTGACAAAAAAGGAAAATGATAAATGTTGACAAAGATGTGGGAAAATTGGGACACTAATGCATTGTTGGTATAGTTGTGAACTGATCTAACCATTCCAAAGAGCAATTTGGAACTATGCCCAAAGGACAATCAAATTCTTTGTTTCAGAAGTACTACTACTAGGTCTGTATCCCAAAGAGATCATAAAAAAGGGAAAAGGATCCAATGTATAAAAATATTTATAGTAGCTCTTTTTGTCGTGGCAAAGAACTGGAAATTGAGGAAATGCTGATCAATTGGGGAATGGCTGAACAAGTTGTGGTATATGAATATAGTGGAATACTACTATGCTATAAGAAATAATAAGCAGGCTGATTTCAGAAAAATCTGGAAAGATTTACATGAACTGATGCAAAATTAAGTGAGCAGAACCAAGAGAACATTGTACACAGTAACAGCAACATTGTGTAATGATCAACTATGATCGACTTAGCAGCTCTTCTTAGCAATACAATGAACTAAGACAATTTCAAAAGACTCATGATGGACAATGCAGAGAAAGAACTATGGAATCCAAATGCAGATTGAAGCATACTATTTTCATTTTTTGTGCTGTGTGGCTTTTCTCTTTTGCTCTGTTTCTTCTTTCATAATATGACTAATGAAATACGTTTACATGATTGCACATGTATAACATATCAGACTGCTTGCCCTCTTGGGGAATGGGTATGGGAGGGAGGGAAGGAGAAAAAATTTGAAACTCAAAATCTCCTAAGAAATGAATGTTGAAAACTATCTTTACATGTAATTGGAAAAAATAAAATACTATTTACAAAAAAAAAATTAGTTAGTTAAAAAACGATTCTATAGGACTAAAGAAGCCTACCACCTTTTTTGACTCAAGATATAAAATGAGAAGTACATTTTTGGATGTGGCCAATTTGGGAATTTGTTTTGTTTGACTATGCATACAAGGGATTTGTTTTTCTTTTTTTAAGGAGGACGGGAGAGGAAGATGTGAGAAAAAATAAATTCCTGAAAATTGAAAAAAACTTTTAAAAAAGAACTACAAAAAATATAGTTGGTCAGTTCTAATTTTGCTGATTTCACTCCATTTCACCTCCTACAGATCTTTCCCTATTTCTCTGAATGCTACCTACTGATTTTTTTTAAGAGCAAAATATTATTCTATTACACTGACATATCATAGTTTATTCTTTTTTTTGTTTGCAATTGGGGTTAAGTGACTTGCCCAGGGTCACACAGCTAGTAAGTGTCAAGTGTTTGGTCTGAGGCCGGATTTGAACTCAGGGCCTCCTGACTTCAGGGCTGGTGCTCTATCCACTGTGTCACCTAGCTGCTCAATATCATAGTTTATTCTGTCATTTCCCAATTAATAGACATATAGTTTGCTTCTAGTTTTATTGCTATTGAAAAAAGGGAAGTAAGATCCTTTATATCAGATAGATCCTTGATTTCATGGGATAGAGTCATAGCAATGGAATCATGAGGCAAAAGATATGATTAGTTTTTTGAGTTATTACATACTGTTCTTCAAAAGTTTGCATTAGAATTCAAAATCCCATCAACAACATAGTAGAGAATTTGTTTTCCCATAGTTTCACCAACATTCAATTTTATTACAAAAATTATTTAAAAAAGTTTTTTGGTATTTTTGTCATTCTGAAGTCACTTTATCTTAAGATTTGTTTGTATTTTCATTTCTCCAATGCTTAGGGAATTTGAACATTTTGTCAACAATTTCTAGTTCCTCTATCATAAACTGTCTATTCATGTCCCTTGATCTCTAGTTCATACTTCTTGTGGCTTCCTTTCTGATATCTGTATACATCTGAATTTCTTGGCTCCTAAGATACAAGAAGAAATGCTACAGAATTTTAGTGCTAGAAAGAGTATTTCAGACCATTTAGTGCAACCCCTTCAGTTTTAAAGGTGAGTAAACTGAAGCTCTATTAAAGGACTTAAAAGCAAAGTCACACAGCAAGAGGCAGAACCAGGACACTTACTCCATCCTTCACTCCCCTGTCCCAACCCATTCATTCTTTTCTTTCTTTCTTTCTTTTTTTTTTAAGGCAATTGGGGTTAAGTGACTTGCCCAGGGTCACACAGCTAGTAAGTGTCAAGTGTCTGGTCCGAGGCCGGATTTGAACTCAGGTCCTCCTGACTTCAGGGCCAGTGCTCTATCCACTATGCCACCTAGCTGCCCCTCAACCCATTCACTCTTATACAACATTCTTGTTATACAATCTACTGTGTGAGTTCTACTATACTATCGAGAAGCTGTTTGTCAATGCTAAACATGTAAGGAAGGCTGTGCTTTAAGGCATCACAGTTTTTTACTCAGCAAGCATGAGGATTCCACTTCAAAGCCTTTAAAGAGCATTAACTGGGCAGGAAATGACAAAGGGATATTGAATTTTCACTTGTACATTTGCTGATGATTTACTATACAAAACTAATGAATAATTATGAAGTCAATCATATGCATCACTTAATCTTAGTCAAGCATAGTACTTTATTATAAGACCTCAAAATGGTAAATGAACTGATTTAACTGGCCCTTTTAACCAAAAATGTATAAATCTGTTAATAGATATGCTATAATTTCAGAAATATTTTATCTTCATGTATGACTACTTTCAACTGACACTGGACCTTGAGAATCATTCTTTTAACAAACATTTATTAAGTGCTGTATACATAGTACTGAGCTATGTGCTAGGAAAGAAATAAAGTTTAGAAAACAATGCCTGTGTCTTAGTGAGTTTCAAACTATCTCTGATTTGTCTCTCTATGTCAATTGTTGTCGTTCAGTTGTATCTGCCCCTTCATGACCCTATTTTGGGGCTTTCCTGGTAAAGATATTGGAGTGCTTTGCCTTTTCCTTCTCCAGATCATTTTACAGATAAGGAGCTGGGACAAACGGGATTAAGTGACTTGCCCAGGGTCACATAGCTACGACACGTCTGAGGCCAGATTTGAACTCAGGAAGATGAGTTTTTCTGACTTCAGGCTCAGTGTTTTATCCACTGTGCCACCTATCTATGTCTCTATATCAATTAATAATCTATAAATAAGCACTGATATGTTCTAGAAGAGCTGCATTTATAACATTTTATTTTTAACAGTACTTAATGGAGTCAGGACAAAGAGGATCATAAGCAATGTCTCTGAAACTTAGAATACATTTCTCTCCTTACCTCTTCCCCTTGGAATCCTTAGCTTCCAAGCCCAGCGCTTTGCTTGATTTTTCCAGTTGTTAATGTTATATTTGCTTATCTATGTACCTGCTGTAGCCCTCAGTGCCTTGCACATACTAAGAGCTTAATAAATGTTTGCAATTGAATGTCAACATTTAGAATATGTAAAAATATTACCTCACTATTGGGGTCTCATAGTTGAATTCTTCCTAGTGATGTCACAGAGTAATGACAAAATGCCCAAGAAGGACAGGCGATCAATTTATTTAAGTATCTCTGTGGCTATCTTAATTGTATATTTAATTTTAATTTAATTGGAGTGACAGAATCAGAGTAAAATCCAAACCCAGCTACTTAAAAAAAATCAGAACCATCTTATTAAAGTGAGTGAATGGAGATGAAATGTACCTAACATCCATTAAACACTTACCATGTCCAAAGCATTTCATTTTTTCAATTAAAAAAATCAAACAACTACTTAAGAATATAAACTCCTCAATAGCAGGAACTATTTCATTTTTGTGTTTGGATTCCTAGCAGGTATATAGCAGGTACTTAAAAATGCCTGTTGATTTCTGGATTTGAAAAAAAGCTTATTTATATTTATTATAAATAACTCACTTTTAAATATTACACACAAATTTCATATGACAAGAAGAAAAAATTAGTACAGAAGACTGTGATACTAATAGCCTTAGTCTGTATTCCCTTAAAAAATTAAGGCCTATAGTATCTGGCAGAAAAGATGTTGTAATATATTCAGAATACTTACCTCTTGACTTGTTTTCTGGTATGCTTTCATGTAGAAAATAAAAACCGTATCAAAGGGGCGACATGGTAAGAGATCCAAATAGCCAATGTCATCAAAAAATCCAGATATGGTTGAGTCAAGCGCAATAAGGTGAGGAGGTAGACGACTATTTGTAGGTTCCTTTCCATCCAAAAACAAACAGAACAAAACAAACTATTTTAAATTTCTATTAGCAGTTGAAGAATTAATGTAAGTAAAGAAGTTTAACATGTATTTTAAAATCTTCTTTTAATTATCAAACACTTTGAAGATAGCACAAACTAAAAAGGAGTCCCATTAAAGATAATAATAATAGCGAGTATTTATATAGCACTTTAAGATTTGCAAAGTACTTTAGAAATATTTCATTTTATCCACACAACTCTGAGAGGTAGGCGCTATTATTTTATTATTATATATTATGCTATTCTCCATCTTTACAGATTAAGAAACTGAGACAGAGTAAATGACTTGCCCAGGGTCACACAACTACTAAGTCTCTGAGGCAGAATTCAAACTCAAATTTTCCTGATCCCAGATTCAATGTCCCATCAATTGTAACTAACACCTAATTGTCTTAAAAATGATACACCTGTCTTAAAATTATATGCCTATTTATGTTATGGCTGTAGACTGAAGGTCAGCTAATAGTCACAGTAAAGACAGAACAATTGGTACACTCATACAAATATGTTCTGTATTTTTACATCCCAGACATCACAACAGGGACCAAATAAACAGTCCAGTGCTAATGGTTCTAGCTTAAGTAAATTAGCATTTGAAATAATGATAATGCTAATGATACACATTCATGAAGCACTTTTCTTATAATCACTCTGAGGTACATAGTATGTGATTCCCACTGAATAAATGAAGGCAGCATAGAGGCTTAGAGAGTGTAAGTAGATTTGCCCAGGGTCACACAGGCAATACTGGATTGGAAGCCTGGGCTTTGGGCTTCAATCCAGTACTGCTTCCTTTATACCACTGGACTTTCTAGGCTGAAGAGAAACAGCAAACAATGATTGCTTTGCTGCATACACTAGCTAGAATTCATCTTTGAAAAAAAAGGAAAAAATACCAAACTCATTCTGGTCATCTTTTGCTTTTACATTACTTTCATTTCCAAATACACCACTCCCTGATCTTCTATCAAGCCATACCTTGTAACAAAGAATTTGAAAGACAGAAAAAAAGAGTTTCAGTAAAATCAACTAAAATACATCATCAGCCAAGTCTGACAGCATAGGCCATATGTAATTCAGTCTTTTAACTCTGACAAAATGACATGTTTTCTTAGTAAGGTATAATATCTCTCGTGCTGTTTCAGAACATCAATGGAGCTGCTGAAACTGATCTATCAGAACAGCTTCTAAACAAGGAGGAAGATAAAAGGGGACAACGATTCTACAACATTGGCACTCCTCCTTTTCTTTACCTATTTCAGAATAGATGGAAATGAAGGGAACGCTTCTCAATAAACCAATTTTTGGGCTAGCTCTATACCCTTTGAAGTTGAACCTTCACAATAGGTATAAAATATGAACTACTTCTGGATATTTCAACTGAGCAGTGATCTTCAAAGTGCATTAAGAATCCACAGCTTGCTAATGATCAAATGAGATAATACTTGTGAAGTGCCTAGCACAGTGCCTGTCAGAGTACACACTTAATAAATGCTTATTCCCTTCCTTTCTCTTCCCCTATATAATATATACAAATGATATATATTACATAAATAATATAATATATAATATATATGAATATAAATGATAGCGTCCATAAGATGGATTCTCTGAAGATTTCTATGTTCTCAAAATACATCAATTCACATATAACAACATGCTCATCATATTGATCCCTGTTGTTGTTCAGTTATTTCAGTCATGTCCAACTCTATAACCCCATTTGGGGCTTTCTTAGCAAGGATACTGGAATGGTTTGCCATTGCCTTTTCCATCTCATTTTACAGATGAGGAAACTGAGGCAGACAGGGTTAAGTGACTTGCCCAGAGTCACACAGCTACTCAGTGTCTGAGGCCAGACTCAGGACGAGGAGTCTTTTGGACTCCAGTCTGGCACTCTATCCAGTGCACCACCTAGCTGCCCATTTGATCCCAGGAACACAATAACTTCTCCTCTATGAAATTTGCAGAAACACAAGAGTGGTCCATATAAATTCACTGGACCAAAACAGATAAAAAATGTACGCTGCCTAAACTATGACTTGCAATCAGCCAATCAGTCCATTAATGAACTGAGCCCAGGCCTGCGTAGGTAGCGGAGACATGGATAGACTGAATTTGGAAATCGTGTACTGATTTCAATGATTTTAAACTCCTCAGTATAGCAAAAGTACATCTCTTTAACACCAATATTTCCAAAGTGGCACTATATATGGTTAGCAAATCATGAAATATCATGCTTAGAGAAGAATTAAAATGACAAGCAATGGAATAATAATACATGGTGGATACAACAAGTTACAGCACATTACTAGTGATAATGTTCTGGTTATTAGTGGGATAGATGGCATCATTTTGGACATGTATGAGCACACAAGGAGGTGGGCTGGTCAAACAACAACAGAAGATGAGACAGGCAGCTTGAGTGGTACACAGGTATTACCAAGATATTAAAAGAACAGAAGGCAGGCCTCTTGTTGTTGGGTAGACCACCACAGAATTTCAGGAAAGACAGACAAGAATACTTCAGTATGAGAGAGAGTGAAAAAGATCTGATTTGCATTGGTAGAAAGGGTACCCAGACTAATGAAATCACAGATCCATTAAATGTCAAATAAGTCCCCCTGGTGATCCATGGAATGGACCAAATGAAAATTCTGAGCCAAAACAGGTCTAACAGAGAAAAAGATAGGACAGTTATGACTCTGAGGATCCTACGCTTGAGAGAAATAAGCCATTTCCAAACGACTACTACTACTGACATCTCTTCCAGTTTGGTTTAGGGATAAGGTAAAGAGATTGCATACAAGTCTAAGGATGGCAAATCAGAAGGAAAGTGCTACAGAGGATTATATCCAAAGAACTGATCTTGCTTTTTTCTCTCCAATAGTCCTAATCTTGTAATAAAAGATCTTGATTCCAGATGTCTAGAAATTCTAAAATTAGTAGAACTGTCTTGCTTTTGTTCTTCTCCTGGATCATTACCTTGTTGTGGTGGCAGGGCTTGCATAGCTTAAGGAAACTATGAACTATGCCGATACAGGGTTACCCACGACAGACAGGTCAGAGTGGCGAGTTCTGACAGAAGGGGACCCACTAGAGAAGGAAATGGCAAATTGCTCCAGTATTTTTGTCAAGAAAACCCACAATGATAAAATGATAATAGATATGACATTGGAAGATGAGCCCCTCGGGGCGGAAGGTGTCCAACATGTTACTGGGGAAGAGCAGAGGCCAAAGTACAAGCAGTTCCAGAAAGAATGAAGCAGCTGGGCCAATGCCTAAAAGAAGTTCAGCTGTGGATATGTCTGGTGATGAAAGGAAAGTCCAATTTTATAAAGATCAATATTGCATAGTAACATGGATAGTAAGACCTATGAACTAAGGCAAACTGGATGTGATCAAACAGGAGAAAGAAAGTTTTTTAAAATACAGACATCTTGGGTGTCAGTGAACTGAAATAAATGGGAATGGATAAATTTAATTCATTATATATACTAGTGTGGACAAGAATATCTTAGAAGAAATGGAATAGCCCTCATAGTCAACAAAAGGGTAAGAAACACAGTACTGGGGTATAATCGTAAAAATGACAATATCTGTTTGAACCCAAGGCAAACTATTCAATATCACTGTAATACAAGTCTATGTTCCAACCACTGATGCCAAAGAGGTCAAAGTTGCCCAATTCTATGAAGACCTGCAACAACTTCTAGAAATAACACCAAAAAAAAGATGTCACAGTCATCAAAAAGAATTGAAGTGCTAAAATAGAAAATCAAAAGATAACTGGAATAAGAGACAAGTTTGACCTTGAAATACAAAATGAAGCAGGGCAGAGACTAATAGAGTTTTGTCAAGATTACCTGCTGGTTGGGGCAGCTGGGTGGCGCAGTGGATGGAGCACTGGCCCTAGATTCAGGAGGACCTGAGTTCAAATCTGGCCTCAGACCAAACACTCGACACTTACTAGCTGTGTGACCCTGGGCAAGTCACTTAAGCCCATGGCCTAGCTAAAAAAAAGAAAAAAAAAAAAAAAGAGAAAACAAATAAAAGGATTTGCTCTGTTTAAAAAAAAAAAAGATTACTTGCTGGTCACAGCAAACACTTTTTTTCAACAACTCAAAAACAGACATCACCAGATGGTGATCACACTTGATTATATACTTTGCGACCAAAGGTGGAGAAACTCTATACAGTCATTTAAAGCAAGACCTGGAAACAACTGTGGCTCAGATCATGTGCTTTTTTTAATTGCAAAATTCAGACTTAAATTGAAGAAACACTATATAGATATGACCTAAATAATATCCCTTATGAATATGAAGTAGAGGCGATGAATATATTTTTTCTTTCTTCTTTTTTTTTTCTTTAGGCAATTGGGGTTAAGTGATGTGCCCAGGGTCACACAGCTACTAAGTGTCAAGTGTTTGGTCTGAGGCTGGATTTGAACTCAGGTCCTCCTGACTTCAGGGCCGGTGCCCTATCCACTGCGCCACCTAGCTGCCCCACGATGAATATATTTAAGGGATTAGATCTGATATAGTGCCTGAAGAACTATGTTCATAATATTGTAGAGGAGGCCATAATAAAAAACATTCCAAAGAAAAATAAGTATAAGAAAGCAAAATGGCTGTCTGAGGAGACTTTAAAAATAGCTGGGGAAAGAAGGTAAGTGAAAGGCAAAGGAGAAAGAGAAAAATATACCTAGTTGAATACAGAATTCCACAGAACAGCAAGGAGAGAAGAAAGTTTTCTTAAATAAGCAATGCAAACAAATGGAAGAATACAAAACAAGAGATCTCTTCAATAAAATTAGAGATATCAAGGGAACACTTCATGCAAAAACGGGTATGATAAAAGACAAAAATGGTAGGCACCAGGGGGCAGCTAGGTGGTGCAGTGGATAGAACACTGGCCCTGGAGTCAGGAGGACCTGAGGTCAAATCCAGCCTCAAACACTTACTAGCTGTGTGACCCTAGGCAAGTCACTTAACCCCATTGCCCAGCCCCCCCCCAAAAGAAATTTCTTTGGGGCAGCTAGGTGGCACAGTAGATACAGCACCAGTCCTGAAGTCAGAAGGACCTGAGTTCAAATCCAGCCTCAAACCAACCACTTGACACTTACTAGCTGTGTGACCCTGGGCAAGTCACTTAACCCCAACTGCCTTAAAAAAAAAAAAGATATCCAACAATCCAGTAATTACTCAGTCCAGAGAAATCTAGACAGAATACTAAAAAGTAGAGCTATCACCTTGCTGACAAAGGTCTGTATAGTCAAAACTATGGTTTTTCTAGTAGCAATGTATGGCTGTGAGAGTTGGCCTATAAAGAAAGCTGAGCACCACAGAATCAACACTTTTGAATTATGGTGCTGGAAAAGATTTTGAGAGTCCCTTGAACAGTAAGATCAAATCAGTCAATACTTAAAGAAATTAATTCGGGTTATTCATTGGAAGGACAAATACTGAAGATGAAGCTAGGACTTACTGAAAAAGACTGTGAGTCTGGGAAAGATCGAAGGCAAAAGGAGAAGTAGATGGCAGAGTATGCAATGGATATATAATGTCATGGAAGCAATGAATATGAGCTTGGACAGACTTTAGGAGACAGTGGAGGAGAGAAGGGCCTGCCTGACATGCTATGGTCCACAGGGTCACAAAGAATTGTACACAAACGAACATCTGAAAAACAACTTGCTTTTATTCTGTTGTGTCAAATGGCAAATATAAGGTTAATTTTCTAGAAGAATTTTTTGGAATAGTCCACAGCAGAGGTATCCTTTGGGCCTCAAGTGATCCACAATACTCCTAAAGTATGGTTCAAACCAGATTAAAATGTAATTGGAAAATATTTAAAAAATAAAAATATAAGAAAACATAGATGTCACATTTTAAAAATAATTTAATATGTGTCCTGCAGGGATCCTTATATATGGATTAGTGGTTCCTGTTTCTATTTAAGTTTGACACAACCAAACCATACATCTTAAACGTCATCTTGTATGGGCTGCTTGTAATAGCTGTTGATACTTATATAAAGAGTTTTTGTGGGGACAGAAACTAATTACTATGGTACTTTAAAAAAAAAATCTAGATTTCAATTATCCCATTAGCATTTATTGTTAATTACCAGGGATACTTGAGAGCTAGAAGCATTAGGGAACTCAAGGAAATATATTTGACTGTATATGCAAAAAGAATCATCTTGGGACCAGAAAAAAACTGCAATTCAAGTATGAATATATGCATGAAGGCCCTATAGAATGAGTCACCTTAGGGCTTCCACACATGGAATGTATCATATATGCAGATAATAAAAACACCAATGACATGCAAGTTTTCCCACTTCACCCTAGAAAATTTGAATGAAATCTTTCTATGACCATAAACAAAAAAATAAGATTAACCGTACCATTTGTAAACAACCCATTGTATTTGTGTGTTGTAAGTACTTACATCTCAGCATCTGATACAAGTGTACAAAATTACTTGCACATAAAAATGTGCCAAAATTACCTTTAATGCCTCCAATGACAAAAACCCAAAGTGTGAAAGAAAAAGGCGTGCTGTTTGGAATTCCTGGGCAGGAGGTGGGGGTTTACAGTCAGTAACTGGGTCAGGGAAAGTTTTCTTCCGCCACTCCTCTTCACTTTGCTGCTCAATGGATATTTCATAAGTGATCTGCTGGGCCATGCCATTCCTCAATTTTTCATGTCTCTCTTCTAACTGAAATGCATTAAAGACATTATATTTGCATGGTATGGCTTTAAAAATAATGTGAAGTTTATATTCAATATAAAATTACAAATACTTATTAATTCTGTAATTAAAATTAAATTAAAAAACTCAAGCAGTAAGTGAAATTCAATGCATAGCATACTACTGAACACTATTCCAGGATCCTGACAAGCATAAGAAATAAACAATAGTTAGGAACTAGAGTCTTACTTCCTCATTTACGATTTCGTGCAAGTCAGGAATGCTCAGGTCTGCTTTTACAAAAGGAATTTTGTCCACCTCTTCAGGAAATGGTCGATGCTTCACTGTGTATTTAATTCCAACATCATTTTTAGGAAGTGGACGAGGTTCTGGCACAAAAAGCTGTTAAAATGAAGCAAAGCAATTTGTATGGTCTGAGTACCCATTTATAATACATAACGTAATACGAAAGCTAAAGTCCTACCTTCTGCAAGAAGCCTTTCCTGATTCCCCCTTCATTTTAGTACTTTCCCTCTGATGATTATTTCCACTTTTTCCTGTATTTAGCTTGTTTGTACATAATTATTTGCATGCTGACTCTTTCATTACACTATGTGTTTCTTGAGAGTAGGGATTGTTTACCCCTTTCAGTCTTGCCCCCACCAAACTCTTGAAGAAAAAGCTACAGAATAACAATAAAAGATTTGGGAAAGGAATGAAGTAATGAAAGCCTCTTATCCTTTAATTAGTCTCTTCTCCTTCCCATTACTTGCTGTAACATAAAGCCTGGAGAGATGGTCTTAAGTTAGACCAGACACTGGGGGTATGAATGATGGCTAGGATACTAGCGAAGGGAGTATAAAACTAGAGAACAGGGACAAGATTTTTGTCTTCTATGAGAGAAGCTTTTGGAGACATTTTTGCCTCTCCTACCATTTTTTTTGCTTGGGACGTTTTTAAAAAAAAAATAGCATGCTGGGGTTTACATTACGTTATTTGAGCCTCACAGCAAAACTGTGAAATAGTGTTAAAGTATTATTATTCCAATTTTACATATAAGCAAACTAAGGATCAGAATTAAGTGAATGTGATAAATATATGCTCTTATTTTCTAGGAGAAACCTGGGTTTGATTTATTGGGTCCAACTGTCTAAAACATATTATTGTCAGGATCAAAAAGATTTTGGTTTTATATGCCTTTTGTTCTGCTGAAGAATACTGAAAAGTAGGTTTAACACTAAGAACAACTTTGGTGCTGAGCTGTCAAAAGTTTTTAGTAAATAAGTTTTGACACCAAAGCATCAATGACTAACAACAGTATATATTGTCCTATCCTGGAGATATGTAAGTGTTATAATAGAGACCAAAGCCTTAATCCCAAATATGAAAATCTTGGCAACGTATTTTTGCCAAGTTACTTTTGGTCAGAGGGATTTGTTACTACCCTTTAGGTCATGCCAAAAAGGCAGTCTTCTGTGGGTAAATCTGGACCTCTGGGGAAGTTTTCAGAGTATTAAAGATAGCTGGAATGGTATTAAGCAACAATGCACGTGTCAACAATACAGAGCATGATTCTCTAATGGTAGAATCCACAGCTGAAATGTCATGGGCATTTCTAGAAGCTGCATTAACTCTAAGAAAATAAAGTGACTTGCTTCTTCAGTATTACATAATGATTTAGAGACTTTAAAATGTTGCTACAAGATAGGGAATATGATGAAGCTGTGGGCTGAATGTAATGTCACCAAGAGAATGGTGGTAGTGTGTCCCATGTGCTGAAAAACAAATTTCTTATTGAAAAGGAAAACAAAGTTCAAGGCGTTAAGCTACTTTTTAGATAGGCTACTACTCATCTAGGTTTCTTTCAATTTTAAGGAAGTTACAGGCTTACAGGACCTTAGAAATTGTCTAATCCAACTCATTCATTTAGAGGCAGCTGGTGATGCAGTAGATAAAGCGCTGGGCTTGGAGCCAGGAAAACCTGAGTTCAAATTGAGCCTCAGATACTTCCTAGCTATCTGAGCCTGGGCAAGTCACTTAATTCATCTCTGCCTCAGTTTCTGCAACTGTAAAATGCAGATAATGACAGCACCTACTTCACATGATTGTTGTAAAGATCAAATGAGATAATATTTGTAAAGCACTTAGCATACCCTGGCACACAATAGGAGCTAAATAAATTCATGTTCCCCTTACCCTTAACTTTAAAGACAAAGAAAAACTTAAAACCTAGAGAGGAAAAGTGATTTGCTCAAGATCACAAAGCTGGTAAATAGCAGAGCCAGGATCTAAATCCAGGTCCACTAATTTCAAATTCAATATTCTCTCTCCTGGACCACACTATCTCCTCAACATTGCATACACAGTATTTACAAATACAGCCTGTTATCAAATACAAAAAGGTAATAAAGTAACTTCACATAAGCTATAAAAAAATTTTTTGTTAGAGAGTTGTATTCCATAAAACTTCAAAAACAACAGCAACAACAACAGGATTTTAAACTTTTTTGTAAATTTAGTGATTTTGTTTTTGTGGTAATGTTATTTAATTTATAAATAAAAATGCACCAACTCTCCCCTCCCTGTTATTTCCCTCTGAGTTTTGACAGATACCTTCTGATTTGCTTTTGCCCCTCTTGGTAAAAGGGAAAGCTGCTGGGCCCAAGCAAGTCTTCCAGACATTCCACGGACCAAAACAGTGACAGATGGAAAAAAATCATCTGTGAGGAGAAGTTTAGAAAAGACAATTTAGAATTCGGATACAATGGTAATTTTTTAAAAATTAAAATCTTTATTAACTATAGAAATAAACCAAATATTATATCTTCCTGCAATTTATGATTGTCATGCCAAAGTAAGTATTTACCAACAACCAATATCACCCAATTTTCTTATCACTTCAAGGTAGAAATACTAATTCACTTCTGATCCACAGCCAAGTTGTGTTATCTCCAGTCAGTGCACACTGAATCCTTCTCTTGCATGGTTGTCCAGAGTCTTGTGACCCTAGAACATTTTGGATTTGTCTTTTTACCATCTATCCCCTATCAAAATCTCTTCTAAGTAAAGTAAGGTTTTTAATAACTGCTAGGTTTCTGGTAAATGAACTGGTACCAAAACATTTATAATGTCTGATAACGGCTAAATATGCTCTCCTACCCTGTAGATCAGGCCTGCACAACCTGTGCCAGCCTGTACAATCTGTGGCCCTCAGGCCACTTACAACCCTCTGGCTGCCTGTAGCATGCCAAAGGATTTCGATTGGCCTGCAGAAAAAAGTAGAGGAAAACATCCTTTGTATGTAGAGGAAATCCTTCGGTGTGCTGCAAGCGCCCGGGCTGTAAGTGGCCCTTGGGCAGCCGGTTGTGCAGGCCTGTGGTAGATCCATCACCATTTACACTGTGCTCAATGGCATCACTGATCTAATCTTTCCTCACTGATCTTCTAATATCCTAACAGGCTCTTCCCATCAGTGAATAGAAGGAAGATACAAGTTGATACAGAAGATCCAGAAAGGTACAGAAGATCCGAGAGATTTGGATTACTGTTCAGATCATGTGACTAAACAAATCTGTCAGGGAGTTGGCTCAGAACTGAATAAAATGGAGGAGTTGCATGATGGATAGTTTATGAAATTTTAATTTACTTAAGGATCAAGCTCTGACTCCTCAGGGAAAAATCATGGGAGATCAGTTTTAAAGGAAGGAAAGGACACGATCTGGCTGATCAATAAAGGACTTGTACATTCTTTACTTCCTCTCAGTATTCTTCAGTACACGATTTCTGGAGAGGTTGCCAGCAGGTCCTACAAAGATTCAAAGGGATCCAAAATGAATGGTCTGCTTGTTATTGGAATGATGCCTTTACTCTCTATCTTCTTTCCTTCATACCATGACTTAAGTGTTTTCTGCTGTACCATAATACCTCAACTGTTCTATTTGGCAAGTTGCTAGTGGTACCTGTCAAAAACTTGCCCAAAGTCCACATTCTTCTGACCAGCACCTTTCTCTTATACCAGGACTCTTCTGTAATATCTTCAGGACCTATGCTCACATTTCCCCAAATAATCCTTCTAAAGGCAGAATACCTTAAAAATCCCCATTAAGGAAGTATAAAAGCCACTTACTCTGTTCATTCCCTAGGGGTTGCTCCAGCATTGCAAGGATGACACTATTATCCAGGACAAAGTATCGAAAACTGTGTCTGTTTACAGTAGGCAGCCTGGAGCATTTAATCAAAGTAGTTTCATTCACCAAGCTACAAGAAGATGCAGGACCACTAGGTGAAGGGAATGCACCAAGTAACTGCATGATGCTGCAAGGTACAGAAGAGAGTTCAGTTAACAATTCCCAAAAGGATGTACCTTTAGCCTACTTTAGTCATCAGTATCAGTATACTATTTCCATGTAGTCATTCTTAGACCTCACTTTAATTAGCTCCTTAACACTGTTTACCCTGAACTTTTGCAGTTCTTGTTAGCACTTTTCATGACTTCTACACTGCACCTTGAATTATAGTTATTTGTATATGCATTTTATTCTGTATTAGGCTATAAATAACTTCAGGGAAGGGACCATGGTTTACTTTCTATTCCTTATAGCACTTAGCATAATCACCTGTGCATATTATGGTTTGAATAACTATCTGTTAAAACAGAATTGTCTATGCCACATAATTTGGCACTTGATCATATATTGTTTTACATTATTCTGTTTATTTTGTGTAAGCAGTATTTCCCTAGAGACTAAATTCCTGGAAAGCAGAAATTAAATCGGTTTTCTTGTTACTCCACTCAGTGCACAGTAGCACTGAGGTACAAAAAAAAAAAATAACTTGATGATTGATTTAAACTTGTGATGTCAAGTTTATGAGAAGCATAGAATAGGAAGAACACTGGACTAGAGAGAAATCAGGAGACCCAAGTTTTTGTATCCATTCTACCACTAATTTAGCAAATTACTAAACTTCTCTTGGCCTCAGTTTTCTCCTCTATAGAATAAAATAGGTTGGTCTAAGTGATCTCCAGGGTCCCTTCCACACATCTAAAATCTATGATTCTAATGGACTTTCCTTTATTATTAGATTCTCAAAGTTAATTCAATTACAATATTTATTCAGTGTGAAGACTTATTTTTGCTGAGCTTTCACCTAAGTTTAAAGTTCCTTTTATCTACTATAATAGTTAGTTTTAAGGAGATTGATCTTATATTGCTCAGCAAAAAAGTGGAAAATCAATGTATCTGTCAGCCTCCGAATTTTTCATTTCATAGTTCAATGGCACATGGCATATACCTTGCAAGGTAGAAATAAACTGTAAATCTTGCTTATTTTCAAGCTGGAGAATACAAAGCATACAGCAGTTAGCTACTTCATACAATATTTCACAACCAGTGAGAGGATGAGAGAATTTATAACTATCAAACTATCGGATCATAATCCCTAACTAACAGCTTCCATACCATGTAAGGGTAGCTTCAGCTGCATCCTTTACCCTCATAGATGCAGGGTTTGGCTCCTTATCTCCTTTGTATTTGACCTCTTGTTCGCTACTCCTGGACTTGCTTCCTGAGATACCCAATTCCACAATCTCTAGTACCTCTTTTAAGCAATCCTAAAGGTGAAGAAAAGAAGACTTGTTTAATTCTTCAAGAAAAATGAAATACGAATGTTCATTTTTCTTAGATGGTCAGAGAATGGATGATTACTGAAAAGAAATTCAATTCAATTATGATGTTTTGCGACTATGTAGAGTTTAGGGTGAGGGTAGAAGATGAGTACAGCCAGAAAATATTTTATGTAGGTATATTTGTATAAACCTTCTTTTAAAATACTGTGACCGTCATACAAACCTGTTCTAACATTTCTTAACTATGAAGTTGTGAGGGGCATACCAAAAATTCTGCTAGTAATGGGATAGTTAAGATAATGATAAGGTATTGAAAGAGAAGCTTAAGTTATTCCTTATACATACAAGCCATTTCTTGCACCTTTAGTTTGGAGAAGGCATGGAAAAAATGGAAATATTTTCTATTATGCCACTTTCTTTTTATAAAATGCTTTAAAAATCTTTAAACAGAAAGAATTCTAAAAATTCTACTATTAAACCAACATGTGTTTCCCCTTTTACACTGCATAATAACAGGGTGGCTGCTCTCTACAGAGCATTAGATTAGTTCTTCTTCCCTTTAAAAAAAAAAAAGAAGGAACCACATCACGATTCCAAAATGTTCAGATGCTAGCTTAATGTTCTCTATTCATTTTGTCGCCGATTTCACAACCTAGGTAGCAATTCACCTGATTTAAATGATTTGTCATTGATACAGACTACTGGCTAATATAAACAGGAGGTTTCCATCTTTCTGAAAATAAACTTTAGAGTTTTTCATAAACTGAGTGCAAATTTAACCAAGGTCTCATATATCAACATATTAACATAGCCTCATTAATTAAAACATTTCTTTATCCCAACTAATTACGGGCTACACTGTACCTGGCAAGATGTACCAAGCAGGATTAGAGTTACACTGATAGCCAATAAATACTTAAGTACAGCAATTTTTAAAATAGAGAAAGTCACATTTTAAATAAGGAATTTCTCCTACTTAACATGCATCCAAACCTAGCACTCTCACCTTTTCATCAAGCATGTCAGGGTGTTCTGTCAGCCAGACACAAAGACACTGAAAAGCTGCAACAATCATGGAGTGAAGATCTCTGGAGTGCAGCGGGGCTGGCCGACTGCACTGGTACACAATGTAACTACACACTGAGCTAATGGCTCTCTTTTGATCTGCTGAGTCGACTGTCACCTTCACCTAAGGACATTTAGGTTAGGAAGGTAATAATTAGTTGATATCACTTTCATATTTATGACAAGTAGCTTGTATTGAGTATCAATTAAATATGTAAGGCACTCTAGAATACCTTGTTTTTCTACATATATAAGATGGAGAAAAGTCTGAGATATCACTAAAATACATATATACTAGAAGTGGTGGTAATACATTTCATGAATGTCAGGCTATAAAACATCTTTCAGAATTGTTTCTCCACTCCCTAAAATGTCATCTTCTTGTATCTCAATGTGAAGAAGTAGCCACAAATTCAATCTGCCATGTCTTTGTTTTAAGACACTCCTCCGGACTTCTGAGGTCTATGGACAGTTTAAAACCCCCCAGTATGGATGCATCCCTGTGTCAAGTCTCGCTGCACAGCCACCCTACTGACTAAAACAGAGATGTCAAACTGGAGATATTAGTTAACCAAATTAAAATATACAGTAATTGGGAGATGTTGAACAAAATTTAAAATACAATACAACATAGATAATGTTAATGTAAAGTTTTCTAAGTCAATATACGGCTGTAGAAATCTGTTTCTATTTGAGTTTGACACCACTGTTGTAGAGAACAAAATTCCTTAGCTTGGAATTTAAAGCTCTGAAATTTGGCTTGAGCAAACCTTTCCAGAGTTCTCTCATTTTTCCTCTTCACTCGCTGTATACTCTAGCCAAACTAGTTTAGAATGTACTCCTCCATCTCTGCCTAGTGAACTATTTCTCTTCTTTCAAGTTCCAGCTCAGGTGCTATACCTTCTCCATGATGGCTTCCCTGATTGCCTGAACTAGAAGTAATCCTTCCCTCCTCATATGTGTCATTCTACTATGTCCTTTCTTGTGCAAATCATACTTGTAATAAATTTTGACGTGTTGTGCTGTGGAGGTGACTCTATACTCTCAAATGCTATACCAGCAGAGAGTAAACTAGCAGGACCACAATTTAGAAAGGTTTAGTCTAAAGGACTATTATCAGAGCTTATGTCTGCTGACCGAGGAACTACTGAGCTAAATCTGGAGAGGAACATCATCAAATCTCCTAAAAGTTGATGAATTTCTTGGCCACAGAAATCCTGGAAGACTACTAATTTATAGAGTGCTTACCATCAGTGGGACAGTACTGTGACTGGCCTAGAGTTAGGAAGACTAATATTCCTGAGTTCAAATCTGGTCACAGACACTTATTAGCTGTGTGACTCTAAACAAGTAACTTAACCCTGTTTGCCTCAATTTCTTCATCTGTAAAATGAGCTGGAGAGAGAAATGGCAAACCACTCCAGTATCTTTACCAAGAAAACCCCAAATGGGATCACAAAGAGTTGGACAAGACTGAAATGATACAACAACAAATATCATCTGAAATGATGAAATATCCACACTGATAAAATTATATATTCTTGAAGATTTTCAACGTCATTTTTTGGGAATATATTTCATACTTCCTACTAGATTATTAGCTCCTTAAAAACAAAGATCATGTCATTTTTCAACTTGCTATTCTCAGATTCAACCACAGTACCTCATATACGAGGTATATAAAAGGCATTAACTGAATTAAATTTGATGAGTGTTCTCTATATATACATATATACATATATAAAGATATATAAATATATGTATGCCATCTTATTGTTTTCATTGGTCCTAATATAAGAAACATATTATAGGCTCCCTTTTATAAAACTTTATTTTTAGGTTTGTTTTAATTCACTTTTAATTATAGTCTACGTAAAAATATAGCCAACTCTTGATCATCCATATTATTATATAACAGATAGTTAAAATATAACTATGCTAAGCTAAAGCTATACAGTCTTTCCTCACCTTTGCCAGTCCAGAAAGAAGCTCTAATGCAGCCAATGATATACTCATGTCCTGACGCCACTGAGAATTGAGTCTTTGGGTTACAAGGTGAATGCTGCGAATCAGGAGTCCAGCAGCTGTATCTGTATTAAGAGCTAGGATATAACCCCAATGCCACATACCACAGGGAGGGAAAACAACTAAGCATTAGTAACAATAAGCAAAGCATTCCCTTAGGCACAAACCAAAGCAGCCACAACAAGCACCTGGACAATGAATTTAGCGATGTACATGTAGGCTGATTAATCAGCACACCACACTAACATGTTATTTATTTGAATCCGAGCAGCTTCTAACATCAAAGCAGAACTCTATCAAGTTGATCTAAGTGGAATTTTGATATTTAAACAGTCTTTAGAAAAACTTTGAATCTTAAAATATTATTAGCTAACAGGTCTTAGTTCCATTTTTAAAAAGCTTAATAAAAATTGTTATAGGCTTCTCAAGCAAAAATTTTTTTTGATCTTTTGTGTACTGAACTATGGCGTCTAAGTTTTTAGTGCATCCATATATGGTGGAAATCACCCTTGGCAGCTATTACCCATTGCCTTTAAGGTTTAACCCTCACAGAAAATAATACATGCAACACCCTTAACTAATTTTTAAAATTTTACTATTCAGAACTCTATTCCTGAATGTAAGAAAATTAACATTCCCAACCCCCTGTGTTTTGACTGCCAATTTAAAAAGTAAAAGAAAGCACTATTTTGGTAATGCAAAATTAGGAGACTATGAAACTGAATTCATAAATGAAACTTGTGGGACATTATACCTGTCAATCCTATTGGGAAGAGGGCAGTGTGACAACAGAAAAAGGAATGGTCATTAAAGAGAGACATATATGCAGCACACTAACACAAATCTGGATTTCTTAGCGAAACTTTTGCAACATTACAAGCAGAACTTACTAACAGTTCATCAAAATGCTGAAACAGACTAGTCACTTCACACATGCCTATTGGGACATATACAGTAAAAAAAAAAAAACTGCTTCAATATCAAAATCATATTTATATTCTCTTAAACATTACCTTATTGATTGCTAGGGTACCCAGAACCCATATATATATTCTATGTTTTATATATATACATATATATATTCTATATTTTATATATATACATATATATAAAGTGAATAGTGTAAGAAATCTTTAAAACAACACATATTAGTGAATTCAATAATTAATCAAATGTGCATTTGAATAACTCATAATAAAGATTTTATACATGGCATACCCAAGGTCAGTTTATTGGGAAATGAGTTTAGGTCAGAAACACTTTTAGTGTAATTCAAAATAAACAGATGCTAAATTCACACATAAGTAAATAATTCAACCTTGGATTAATGTCCACTTTGTAAATACAATGTCTCTCTATATAAAATACCTAAAGGCACACAAAGTTACAAAACTCATCAAAAACAATACTCTTAAGTCAAGGTATTGAGTAAAATGCTTTACTGAGCAGGTGACTGGCAAGTGTCATTTTATATTAATGAATGAAATAATTTCCTAACTTTATACTGTAGTACATAAGTGGTTTTAAATATGAGGATGTTTTCAGAGTGGTACAGTAATTGAAAGAAATATAAGTGATATGAAATGAATATAAAACAACGCAGCTGAATTCAAAATGCTTTAGTCATTTTTAGCCCAGATTAACATCTAGAGAAGGACTAGTAGTGTTCTTCCAGTTATTTTCAAATATGTAAAAATTAGTCAAAAAATTACTAGATAAAATTTCCCAAAACATTATTCTTAAACTGCTTTAAAATTTCAAAGAAATACACAACTTACCATAATCTCTTAGAAGAGCCTGGGCAGGTCTTTCACTGTCTGGGGTTGTAGGTTCTGTGCTTCCTCCACTCGCTGAACTAATGCCACTATTAGTACGACTATGACTTTTCAGGTTTTCTTCACCATTCTAGCCAAATTGAAGATGATTTAAACACAGAAATACCATAACCATTGACATTTGGCGGTAATGAAATGCAATATATGAATGAGCAGGTAAACTCAATATCAGATATACATAATCTACATAGGTAGGCTATTTTTATTAACAACAGGAACAAAAAGCTGCTTGCTAACATAGTAGACCTCATTTACCTTATTTATAGATTCATATATTGGGAGCAAGGAATGGAAAGGGAAGAAAGCAGGGCAGGACTGACTCTTAGCAGCCAGTTCAAGCCCTTTCCTGTTTTTACTAAGGTGGTGCCAGATATACACCTAGAGATCCTGGGTTTCAAATGCTGGCTCTGCCGTTGATTAGCTGGTAAGACATAGGTGAGTCAGGACTTCTCTGCACCTCCCTTTCCCCAAGAGTACAATGACTTGATACATCTGAGGTCCAGGTCTAAATCAATGATTCAGTGTGAGGCAAGGTTTTTTTTTTTTACTATCAGTCTCCCCAACAAAGTTCCTAAATAACAAATGAACAGAGATGTATCACCAATGATAAACACCAGAACACCAGTGTTTTCATGACCAAGATCAGCTTCCAGACTGGTGGTAGTGAAGAGATATGTTATGAATGACATTTCATTTATAAAGAATTTACAGGGGCAGCTAGGGGGCGCAGTGGATACAGCATCGGCCCTGAAGTCAGGAGGACCTGAGTTCAAATCTGACCTCAGACCAAACTCTTGACACTTAACTAGCTATGTGACCCTGGGCAAGTCACTTAACCCCAACTGCCTAAAACAAAACAAAACAAAACAACAAAAAAAGAATTTACAGTAATTAGCTTAGCAAAACAATGTCACAGTGAGCCATTACTCAGGTCATAAAAATAGCCTCCTTGAAAGGCATCACATTTTCTAATGGCTGACTTTAAAACAAAAGTAAAAAAGTAAGCCTCTATTTAACCAATGAAAAGGAAGTTCTCAAAGGTCCAAATGTGTCTTTAAAATCACAACAGAACACATTTTATGAAGTAACTTAAATTCTTTGACAAGATTCCAGGCAGAAAGGTATTAATGCTTCTTACCATTTCCATCTGACAGCCAATGGCTTCTAAAAGTGCTGAATCCTGAACAATATTTAACATTGCACCTATAACAAAGTAAGAAAGTATTTTATGTAGGATACATGGCAAGAGTTTTTTAATATCAAAATGGATAAAGTATCATTTAGGGAAAACTGAGCAAGACCTGTGACAGACACATGAATTTTGTTTTTCACTGAGGATTATGAAAACCATTTCTTAAAAACTAAGAATTTGATTGACTGTTATTAGAAAAACTGGAAAAAGGACAACATCAAAGAGCAAGAATAGCACATGTATTTTCTAAGTCACTGAAAATAAAGGGAATTTCAAGGTTCAAGTTTTATTTTATTTAAGATTAACAAAATAAATATCAGGTTCAAAAATATTAGGGCACTTTATGATTTTTAAGGTCATGTGCAATGAAGTTTTTTTAAAAGAAAACTTAGCATTACCTTTAAACATTTCAATAATACAATAAAAATTGGAGACAAAATGCCACCAGAGATCCAATACTTTAAGAAGTGACTTAAGTCACTCTATCTTATTTCGTCATGTCTGAAGCTCAAGGTGGGGGCATAGGTCTTTCTCAATCTTAATATGGACTTTAAGTGCAGTATTCTTTCTACCATACCACATTGATCCATATTACCTGAAGAGTTGTTAAGCAGAAAAGGGATTAGACTTATTCTCTATGGCTTTAGATGGTAAGCCCAAGAAAACAGGAAGAAGTTACAGAAAGGCTCATTTTAGCCTTCTACAATGAAATAAGTAGCCTCATAAAGTAGTGAATTCCCCATCACTGAAGGTATTCATGCTAAGGCCAAGTAACTACAATAGGGATGATGTAAATGGAGGTTATAGGGGGAAAATGTTTGGACTAATTCAATAGAGGTTCCAATTCTAAAAGTCCTATGTTTTCATGAATTCCTAAATAATACCAACAGCAAGACTGAAAGCAGCTACTAAAACTGGGTGGGTTATGTGAGGTAGGGGAAAGAATAGAGGCTATAAACTTATTGTTAACAATGCTACAAGAGTGAGAGGCCAGAAAGAAAACATAGCTAGTGCTCAACTTTAAAACATCTTCTGGAGACATATGTACCCATCCTTACAAAAGCAAGGGTCTGAATGGTACGCAACTCTAGGGGTGAGTCGAACCCATTTGGGGTGTTACCCTTCCCCCTTGGCCCCAGGGCTAACTACTGGACTATAGGCAAGAGCAATGAAGAAATGTTGGCAGCTGCAAGGGAGTAGAAACAATGTTCTGAAGCAATCTTTATATTACAAAGGTAAAAAAGCACAGAGGGAGAAAAAAACAAAAATTGACCAAGAAAATATTCCAAAGCATGCCAGAATGAATAGGAGCGTAGGGGTCGTATGAAGAGAAGTTCCCCCTCCCTCCTCTGCCTACCACTATTTTTTAAAGCTCCTTATCTATTTTTGTCAATGGCACTTGAAGTCTCCTATATTCTAAACGTTGGCACTCTCAGTGACTCTTACATTTATTTCTATCATATCCCCAAAGTCCCAGCAATTCTACCTCACTAATATCTCTAAATTCTGTCCCCTCTTCTCTAGTTCCACTGTCATACTGTGCTAAGAAGACTTCATTATTACCCACCTGAACTATTACCATAACCTCCTTACAGATCTTTCTATTCTTGCTCACTCCTAAATTAATCCATCCCACATGCTACTGCCAGAATGGTCTTTTTTTCACGACTCAATCTAGACATGTTACACTTTAGTTTAAAACCTTATTACCTACCAAATAAATTTCAAATTCCATAGTCTTATATTTAAGGCCCTCCACAATTTTGCTACCACTCAGTCTTTCCAATCCTGTTTTCCAACCATACTTCCCTCCACAACTGTACTCTGTGTTCTAGCCAGATTACAAAATTTATTTCCTTGAATTTTCCCAATTGAGCCTTTGTTCACATTATTCCCTATGCCATAATATTCTCCCTTTCCTTCTTTGCCTGTTGAAACCTATCTATCTTTTAGAGCACAGCTCCAAAAAGTCTTCTTAATGAACCCTCTCCCACCATCAATGGGCTTCCCTTCCTTGGATCCAAATGCTTTTTGCACCTCTCTTACACAAGTAACAGATAGATAGTAAGACAGTAAGTATATATGCATATTTCCTCTACTAGACTGCAAACTTTGGAGAGGGCACACACCATGTCTGACTTTTCTAAACTTTTTCTTTCTTCTGGCACAGTACTATAAACATTTTTGGAGGTGTAGTACTGGAATTTAGTAGACACAGTGTGGAAGTTTGTTCCACCACTACTGTTCCAACACTATTTGTTCCACCACATAAATTAGCTATTTATCTTAAATTTGTAGTTTTAAGAGAAGATACCCAACAAGGCTAAATGTTGTCATTTAGTGTCACATAGTGTCACAACTGGTATTTGTCAGAGGTAGGACTTAAAGTTAGGTCTTTCTAACTCCAAAGCCAACTCTCTAGCCATGATGCAACCCTCCCTCACACTCTGAATATAGTTAATGTTTAATAAAATTTTGTAGAATTTAAATTCACATAGAAGTCAAATCTTCCAGTTTAAGTCTTACCACCTGCCCTAAGTATAGGATCAGTGTAACTACTGCTGTCATTCAGCTTATGTCACATCAGCCAGCCTTGCCTTGCCTTTATGACATGCCCATGGTCAGTACTGCCTGAGATTTTAACTTATATAAGAAATATGAACACAAACCTAATATCATCTGAGTGTTGTTGGGGTCCGTTTCAGTTTGCAAGGCACCTATTAGTATATTCACAAGCCTCAATTTCAGTGACAGAAAAGTTATTGGTTTATCATATGAAGAGCTGTCGTCATTACTAAACTTTCCTTCCAGAACAACCTAGAGAGAAAATAAATAACATTGAACATTAACTATCCTGAATAACGAACTCAAGCAATAGAACTGCTCTAGAGGGAGAAGAAAGGATCTGCCTGCAACCATGGCTTCCAATCTTATCACTTCCAGCCTCTTTGCCCTCTTCTGGGCCATGAAAACAGGGTGGCATACATAATCAGTTATCTGCAAACCTTGAATTAAAAGCATGTAAAATCTAGGAAAGCAAGAGAAAGATTTTAAATATATGAAGCTACAACCTTCCATTCATTATTATCAGATAATATTAATTTTCAGCAGTCAATCAGAAGTACATTCCTACCTTTAAGCATATCCATCTTTAAAAGATATTTTCACTATAGCAAAAGCTTCCATTTAAAACCACAAACTGACAAGCCAGTTAGTTATCTGTTTTTAATGAATATAAAATATTGGCTGATCCCTTCCCATAGGGCTTCTCCAAAGTTAAGCTTTACCAAAGTCCAAATGACCAAAAATCAGTTCCAATGACTATCAATAAACTTAATAGTTCTGTACAATACCCTATTTCTGATAAATATGTCGCAGAATTTTCAGCACTCTGTAAAGCTATATCTGATCACAAGAGTAAATGTTCAGTTAAGCTGTGATGGCAGTCTGAGAAAAGAGAATACCACCCACAAATCATTAAGTCAATCACTGACACTTGGAATACAGAGAAAAAAAAATTTCCATTCACATTTTTAAAAACTACTTAGACCTGAATTGGCACACAAGAAAGAGGACAGAAGGAACCCAAAATATTACCTCAGATTTGACATTGCCAAAATGATGAGGGAGTGGTAACAAGGAAAGTAGAATATTAATAGAGGCTCTTCTTAACTCTGTTGGGTTTACATAGGTTTTGAATTTTGAGAGTTCCCTGCAAATGGATAAAATAGTAAATAGCTTAGAAGATGAGCAGAAAGAAGTTCAGAGGTGACAAAAAGAAGCAAGTAGGGCAGTGCTGGAACTACCACGTTAAACATATGATATACTTTAAAAAACAAAATAAGTTGTACATAGTAAAGCTTCATAGTTTCATAAACAATCTTTTTTTCTGTTCTTTGTATTGGGATATATTATTATTAGTTGATATTTGTCAGGTTGTTAATAGTTTAAAAAAATTAAAAGAAAAAATAAACAAATGGCTTATAGTAATTCTGAAATGAACAGCACCTACCATGGTCGTTGTAAGGATTAAATGAGGTAATATTTGTAAAACACTTAACACAGTGCCTGGCATATAACAGGTGCTTATTAAATGCTTTTTTCCTTCCTTCCTTTGCTTCACAATTCTATTTTCTACCTTATAAGTGACTATTTTTACTGAGGTTAGGGTTGTTTTGTGAATTCCTATGCTTAATAACTGTTAAACTATACTAGAATGTTTTTATCTGAAAAAACTTAAAATAGATGAAGACTTTTCCTAAGTATGGAATATCAGAATCCCAAGATTGAGAGTAAGAGTTGAAAGACACTTTATAACTCCCAACATTTGTACTGATGAGAAAAATTGAGACTATAAGGCTCCATGACATACCCAGTATAAAAGTAAGTAGCAGTACTGGGACACAAACTTAGGGCCTTTGATTCCAAATTTGGTGACCTCTCTACTCCATCACATTGTTCTGTCATCTGCAGACCTGACCTAACTTTCTCCCACATCTTCAGGACAGGTCCAAACTGATTTAACAGTTCACTGACAACAGAGAGAGAATATCGATGTGTAATGTGTCACCACATACTGTCAGACTCAGTTGACAAGCTGGTTTTGCTGAGCTGCCTTTTTTCTTCTTTGTTATAAAGGATTGCCAAGGGAGAGAAGGGGAGGAGGCATACATTTGGAAATGAAAATGATGAAAAAACAAAAGGGTATTAAAAAACTAGCATAAAATGACTTCAAGCACAGAATAGATTTAGGCAACTGACAGCCTTCAGATGATATTGGAGTCTTTTTAGCTACCGAGTGCCTTGGCAGGTGAGTCAGGTCAGACAATGAGGCAGTGAAAAGAGCATGCACAGTGGCAAAATCTAACTGAAAAAGAACCTACTTGCTAAAACAATGTAAAAATTGTGACTTACCTATCAGGCAATATGGTTTCAAGAGCTGAAATAAAGTAAGGAACCACAACATCAATCCCTTTCAGATCACAGCAGAATAAATGAGGTGAGTTTAGAATAATGCTGGCCAAGACAGGGTGGCATACATAATCAGTTATCTGCAAACCTTGAATTAAAAGCATGTAAAATCTAGGAAAGCAAGAGAAAGATTTTAAATATATGAAGCTACAACCTTCCATTCATTATTATCAGATAATATTAATTTTCAGCAGTCAATCAGAAGTACATTCCTACCTTTGAGCATATCCATCTTTAAAAGATATTTTCACTATAGCAAAAGTTTCCATTTAAAACCACAAAGTGACAAGCCAGTTAGTTATCTGTTTTTAATGAATATAAAATATTGGCTGATCCCTTCCCATAGGGCTCCTCCAAAGTTAAGCTTTACCAAAGTCCAAATGACCAAAAATCAGTTCCAATGACTATCAATAAACTTAATAGTTCTGTACAATACCCTATTTCTGATAAATATGTCGCAGAATTTTCAGCACTCTGTAAGCATTCATCTTAGCATTATTTTAATAAGAAAATGCATTTGCTTTTTTTTTTCATATTTAAAGGACAAATGGGGAAACACTTCCACTCAACCCTATATTCCTATTTCCAGAAGAAAAGAAAAAGTTACGAGAAATTACAGATGAGGGTTTCCTAACCTGTAGGGTACACCAACCCCAAAGGAGTCCATGAATACATTTCAAGAGTCTGAATTTGGATGAGAAAAAAAAAATCTCATCTTTATTTTACTAACCTCTAATAGAAATTTAGCATTTCCTTCAATTACTTTAACATTCTGAGAAGAGGGTCCAGAAGTTTCACCATATTGCCAAAGCGATGCATGACACAAAAATGGTTAAGAACCCTTCTTAGGGAACAACAGAGCTGAAGTAGGCTATTTAAACAGCTTCATGTTTGCATATAAAACCTGCTACTAGACATGTGAGATTATGCTGGTCCCTAAGGGATTCCCATCTCATCTGTGCCAGGGTTTCTTAGATTACACCTAAAAGCATCTTCTCCTTTTGCTCCTTTGTATTAATTCACCCAGCATTCTTCTTTCAATCATTCTAATACTAGAAATTAAAATTACATTTTCTCCATGAAGACACTTCTGAATGACTAGAAGAATAATTTCTTCTTTGCCTCACCATGCTTAAACAAAACTCATGTGACTCTATTTTAAGATCTGTGATCCATCAGTGTTGGTATTCCCTTTACTAACTAATTTACAATCCAGTTAGTGTTAGAAGATGGCGGTGGAATCACACAATCTCAGAGCTAGATAAGATCTCAGGAGCCATTTAGCCTAATTGGTACTTGAACCAGAATTCCGTCTACAATAAACCTGGCAAGTGGTCCTCCAACCTTTGCTGCCTTCTAAGCTAGTCCCATGTCCCTTGTGGAGAGCCTTAATTCTATAAAGGGCCAAAACCATGCTTGTTGAAACGTCTGTGCATGGCTCTGAATTCACCCTCTGGGGCTAAGCAGAATCATCTCATTCCCTTTCCATGTGACAGCCCTTCAAATATTTAAAAGACAGCCATCATACCCCTACCTTTTACCAAATCTTTTCCAAGCAAAAAATCTTAACTTCTTTAGACTTGGCTAAAATGTCTAGTTTTTTCCATATAGCATAATCTCAAAGTCTTTCACTATTCTAAGTGCTACTCTCCTCTGGATGCAGCTCTCCAGCTTACCAATATCCTCTTAAAACGTGTCACCCAGAATTAAAAATAATACTCTAGATGTGGTCAGAACCGGATAATGATAGGATTATCATTTCCCCTGTTATAGCTATTACACTTCTAGATTCAGCCCAAAATCACATTAGTGTTCCTTTTTTTTTTGTTTTTGTTTTTTCTGGCTACCATGACATACTGTTAACTTATACTGAGCTATGAGAATTGCTGGGTGGGACAACTTATGACTTTCTAGTCTTTCCAATTAATCTAGGATAGTCTTCAAATAACAGATATAAGCCATTACTAGGTCCATACATGAAGCTTTTCAAGCTTGGAGTCTATTAGTACAGTCTTTGAAAACCCAGGGTCACCTCCATGCCAAAATTAGGCACTAGTAGATTTTAATAGATGTATTTAATCCTCTGCTGTTATGGAATGAAAACTCTCTATGTCGTGCAGTAGTTTTGAAATTTTTCTTTATCTGTCTCGGTCCATCTTATAAATTTCCCCTAAACAAGCCAGAATAGGAACTATTCTAATAATTCACTTTATGTCATGCATAACCTAATACCACATATACGAAGAGGTACTCTAATGCATCTAATGATGATGATGATAATCATGATCATACCAAGAATCAGTTTATCTGATTGCATGGCCATACTAGGTTAACTTTCCTTTTGGAAGGTCTAAAGCAGATTAGGATTTAGGAAAGCATTAGGCTATAAGCTACCTAAGCGCAAGAACTATGTCTGATTTATCTTTACATGCCCTCCACAACTAGCACGGTGAAATGCACACAGCAGGTTTTTAATAAATTTTAAAAGAATGAATAAAGGCTTTAGAAAATGACATAAGCCCAGGTGGAAAGCAGTAAGACCTGCTGGTAATAAGGGAAGGAAGATGAGCTAAGTGAAGGGCAAATAATAATGATTAAGTTCTGTTGACCTAAGTGAAAATGGAAGAAGGCTAGTGACACACAATTATATAGCATGTACTTACATTCAATTACAGTGTAAAAAACAGATATGGGGACATTCGGGAGTATATACATACTAGCTTCTCTCAGAACTTAGTCCTTTCTCCACAGGAGATAAGGAATGAGGGATAAGATGCTCTTCTGAAATACAGTATCAATATCTGGAATGTCATATGTTCAAGGGCTCTCAGTAAAGTACTGAACAGTAGCTGCTCAGGAAGGGAAACAGGTTTCTACTGATCATATCTAAAAAGGAGAATACCCATCTCAAAGGACCAGGTACCTCAATCTGGAAGGAACCACATGCTCTCTGGTAAATAAGTGCTCCTAAGGAATTCTAAAGGGAAGAGTAATCCAAGGCCCAAAAAAGAAATATGCCAATTATTTAGAGGCCTTTATTTCGGATCACTGTCTACTTGTTTGTTCAATCTACTGAATCATAATACATTTCTTTTTTATAACTCAAACTGTAATAATAGAAAAACTAGAATAAAGTCTTAGACCTGGATAAATAAGCTGGCAGAATTTCTTCTCCAGTCTTCTTGCTACAAAAAATCCTACATAGTGTCCCACAAGCCTCAGCTCTTCCTGCTTCATAGTTATCAGGAAATTCACTTGCATCAAACATGAGATTGGAAGCCATGGTGTCTGTGGACATTTGTGACCCTTTCCGGCGAAACTCCACACTAGCTTGTGTCGTTAAAGCTGAGGAGAGAAAAGGGAGGGCTTTATTGTATTAGTCAATATGCCAAATAGGCTCATGGGATCCTGGACACAAAGATCCAATTTGGTAATTATTTTTAAAACTACTTAAATAGGATCCAATAATGCTTCTGTTTAGCAACTATTTGTAAATTTAAGAATAAAGGGCTATTTGAATTCTTCTCTAAGAATGGACAGCAGTTAAATCAGAGTGGCACTACAGATTTTCATAAACACTACAAGAAACATTTTTCAACTGGAACATATTTAGTCCACTTAAAATTATGCATATATCTATACATGTGTATAGATATATGATGCAAAATAAGTGTTTTTATTTCTTAGTTTCTATTTCTTTTCCTATGGAAGTATTTTTAAGCGACAGAGAAAATTAGCCAGTAAAACTTGTTATTTTCCTACTAGCAGTCTTCAATGTAAGAATCCATACAGGCTACAGTAGGACAGTACTGGTGATGGGAGAGGAATAAAATCCTCACCTGACTATAAAGCATAAACCAAATATTCTCCCAACCAAGCAAAATGAATATGAATTTCAAACATCACAGGTAAAAACTAAATCTAAGTTGAGGCTAGGGTATAAAAAAGAAGTTGGATATATAAATGAATAACGAGAGAGATATTATCATGCTCACTGTTGTGGGGGGCAGGGAGGAAGGAAGGAGGTCACTGAAACAGAAGCCCTTTGAAAGTTGCTTTTATTTTTAACAAAAAAGTATCTGATTTAATATTATATTAAAATCATTACAAAATGTCTGTTTTAGATCTTTACAAAATAATATAAATTATTTGGCATATGAGATATTTAATGGAATATGTAAGCAAAGCATAAATCTTTATGCAACTTCCCATGAGCCATTTTGGTCCTGAATAAGCTATTTAGCATAATATACTTAGAAAACACTACATGCAGAATGCATACAAATCAAAACACTAGGTCTGTAAAAATAAGCTTAAAGCTTAAAAAAAAAAAACAAAAAAGCCAAAACACAGTTAGTGCAAAGTCCTGGAATTCATGACATGACCAGACTAGTGTACAGAAATAATGGGATTGATTCAGGCAGATTAATTTTTGCTTTTGCCAACAATCTTCCCCATTCAAAACAGAAAAAATTATTTTCCTTCCCAAATGCAAAAGCTACAAGAGACAATGACAATGACAACCAAATTAAAAATGGAATTATGAACAAAATAAAAAACATGATTGCAATTAAGGAAAAGCTACTGGTTCCTACTTACAAGATTTATAAGAAAGAAGAATTTGGATAAAAGATGCTGCAAGATAATAGAAATAAATGGAAACAAATCAAAGGACAGCAGTAGTTATAAAATACTTTAAAGATGGTGAAATTTTATTATAGTTAAGAAGCTTTTAGCTTTTTAAAAAATTAGATTAAAAGCTTTATGATATAGCAAGCTAGTTCAAACACATAGGAAACTGGCATTCAGGTCCAAAATTATGATTTTGTATCATGCAAAACAATGAACGAAGAAAATTATACAATTACAAATAGTTGAGGCTTTGATCTGCTCGTATCAAAGTGCATTAAAATTTTAATTCATTAACCCTTCCCAGCTCAATGTCACTTTTATGAAGTATAGTATGCTATAATTTTAGTCTAAAACTAATAGGTCAAAGGAACAGGCATTTTAAAGCTGAGGTAAGCTGTGTAGTAGAATCCTTTTGTGATCAGCCAGTACTTGCAAAATGGATGAAAATGGTGGTTCCTGGAGACCAATTTCCTATTCTATCTCCACAAACTCTGAGTAGCTTTTGATTTCTTCACCTACTTACAATACCTCAATTATTTTACAGTCTTCACTATACTCTGGCAATTCTGTCTAAAGCATATAAAAGAAAAAGTTATCCTAAGGTTCTTTAGTGAAGAACGAAAGCTGGTCTCACTCTGTCATAAAAAAACCATAACCAGAAAGAAAAAGTTGTGCTAAACATACATCTAATTCTGGTTTTAGCACAAATGTCTTCTGGTAAAAGATTATCATTAGTATGGATACACAGGAACAAACTATTTAGAGACTAAAAAAACTCACAAGAACCCTACACCACAGAGAAATGAAGTCGAGATCCTCTAGGATTGTGGAATCTAGTGCCAACAGTAAAGAATGTTTGAAATCAACTTTTGGAAAAAAAGAAAAACAAAAATATGCTTTGATAAAAATTCTAAAAATAGTCTCTAAAGACAAGTCTGACTACAAAACAAATAATTGTTTTAAATGTCAATGTGGTTTGGAACAACTCTGAATAAAAAGTAAATGCTCATTCTAGAAAATGTCATTCCCAGATGGTAAGTCTTCTTTTCAAAGTTGTTTCTGAACAATTTCCACAAACTTATTAAATGCTACTATTTGCAATCCTTAACATTCAAATTTGTTCTTATAAAGCAAAATATTATGAACTTAGAAATTTTAAATTTCTCTTCAATTAAGAGGCTATAGAAAACATTAATTTGAAGCCAAATAACAGAAAAAAGAATCCTTAATTGTAAAATGTTTGTGCATGACTAGGAATTACTATTTTAAGTGCTCCTAATCTCATCTACCTATATTTGTGAGAACAGTTCTTTACATTTACACTTTTTCTGAACTAAAAAGAATTTGCTTTTTGACTGTTTACATTATTGGTCCTCATTTTGAAATAAGTTATAGTAATACTTTGTTATATTCTGCTGGTATGTGATGAAAGCATGACCTCATGATATAGTTAATAAAATGGAAAATTTTTTCTCTGAAATAAACATTCTCCAGAGCAATGTTAATATTAACTACTCTTTATTAATTTTATTAGCCTTACCTGACTTGCATCCCCTAATCCCAGAAAAAAAGTGCTTTCTTGTAAAGTAATCAGGAAATTCTGGCAGATCCATGAATATAGGCACTATAAATATTCAACGTATTCTTTTAAAAAAGAAAGCACTACTATCCCTGGGCAAGGTAACAAACAGACTAGGTCTTTATCTCTACCTGCTTTAATTTTGTAATGGCAAACCTAGACATTGATATCATGGCTGAATCCTTAATATCACTCTTCACAAAGAGTAAGATTAAATAAAATTACCATTCCAGCAAACTGTATTTTAAAATGAAGCTATGAAAGAGGTGCATTTTACATTTCACCAAGATCAGTCATGCTTTCATAGACTAAAGTCAAATTGCTACAGTTTCAGAAAAGAGAAATTGCTATGCTATTTTCCAGTTTTCGTGTGTACAATTTTACTGACATTTTACCACAGGCATACCCCAAACTCATGTCATTAATTGATCTATTATGCAGAAACACAATGTTAAGCAACATACCATTTTAGGAGACAGTCCACAGGGACAGAAATGAGCAGAACTAAAACAGCAAGGATGCGGAACACTGACCTCTCAGAGTGGAAAGGGGCAAGAAGCAGAAGTCAGAGCCACTAGATTAGGCAGCATCCATATGAACATAACAATAAAATGGCGTTTGTGAGGGCATGGCAAGACATAAAGGTCTTAATGATGTTACTATGAAATGCTACTGGTTTAGGTAATGTTTTGTGGGGTATGCCTGTAGCTAAGAAAAACACTTCTCTTAAGTCAAAAAGTCATGATTCTTTGTGTTGGTGTTACTTTCCTGGCTAACATGAAGGGGACTGCCAGGAAATAAAATAACATTAATTCTGAGTCAATCAAAATTGACTAATATAATTTATGGCTCATTTAAAAAAAGAGAAAGAGAGAGACAGAGTGAAGCCCAAACCCAACAAAACATACCTACAATGGGCTGGTGGCAAAAACTCCAATTTCAGTTGGTTGAATTCATAGGGTTTAAAGCTGGATGGGACCTTAGAGATCCTCTGGTCCAACCCCCTCACTTTACAGAGGAATAAACTGAAGCCCAGAGAGGGGAAGGGACTTGCCCAAGGTCACACAGGTAGTAAGTGGCAGTTCAGCTGGAAGGGGTTAACCATAACACACTGCTTTGTTAGAAAGAATTTTTTTAGGTATGTGTTAATCTTGCAGGTAGGAAATGTCAGAAAACAAGAAAAGAAAAAGTATATGTATTTGTTAAGCAATATTTACCGGTCATGCTGCTGTCTCTATTTAGCCCACTGTGAAGTTTACAATGAACAAATGATGCATCAAATAACCATGATCCAAAGAGATTCAAGATGCTATTCACTTTTGGTCTTCTTGGGGCAGGCAGCGGTCGAGGCTCTGAGCTAGTCTGGTTGGGACTGGAGAGTGGAGAAGTGGAAGACGTCTGGTGCGAGACTTTAGAGGGATGCCCAATGTTAGCCTAGTGGAAGGACAAGAGGACCCCCACACCCACAGGAAAAGTTTAAGACAAAGAGACCCAATTCAAGATCAGATGCTTAAAAAGTAAGGTGTAAAATGGAGCTCTGATGACAATCAGAGATCTTACTGTGCTAGTCTTCACGGTTGCCTTATTCACAGTAACGGTTCGATGCCTTCGATTATGAGGGGGAGTTGTGCTGCTGGCAGTGCTCTGGGGCATGTTTAACCTGTTCACTGGTGTTGGTGGGGCACTGTCACTTCTAGGTCGAGAAATACCTAAAGCAAAAAAACACAGTAATTAGAAGAAATGGTCTTAGTTCAGAGACTGGCATTACTCTTGATGCTGTAATGTTTTACAGGACTATTATTATAAACATCTTCCCCACCCAAAACTGATGGTTTTCATGCTGACAAAATAGTCACTTCCCACCCTTACTTCACCTTGCCATCGGGAGCTTGCATTTTTACCCAACAGCTCCCTGAGACACTTTTATCTTGATTGGCAGCTGGGTCTCTTTGGGTGCTTCACTGCCCCCTTCTGGTTCTGGATCCATAATCAAATCAACTCTAATGTTCCTCCTGTCATTCTATGCCCCTATGGCTCCATCCACCATCCCTAAAACTTGCTGAACTCAAATCCCTTCCCTGGTCACCACTTCCCTATACTCATTATGTCCGCTAACTAGAATTCTGAGAGCAAAGAGTAGCTTAGCCCATAGTGTTTGGCCCATAAGTTTTGAATAAACGCTTTTTCATTCACTTACAGTAAATAGTTTAAACTCAGGATCCTAAAATAAGTTTAGGGATTTTTTTATGATAAAACTAATTATATAAGAAAATTCTTTTCTGAACATGTAACTGAGATTAAAACTGCTTGCTTATTTGATATGCTATGATCCCTAGGAACTTGTAACAATTTTTTGAAAATTCACTTGAATGATTTTATCAAAGAATATCTGTCTTACAGTATCAAAACGTACTATTTTAATTTGAAACAAAAGTCTTAAATATATCTGGTGCCAAAAGATAAAGATCACCAACTCTACCTATGTCCTTGATCACAGTTCCACCAGGCTACTTGAGGAGATTTTCACCTTGATCATCCTTTCAACTTTTTTCTAAAATTTTAATTATTTTTTAAAAAAGCAATATTGATTTTTTTTTTTTTACCAGTTGCCTCCTCTCTTGGCTTCAGTGATATGCCACTATTGTATTTTGATTATCTTTTTTCTTCTCTGATTGTTCTTTCAGTTTCCTTTGCTGGCTCATCATTCTCTTCCCATTGATAAGTGTGGGCATTCACCAAGGTTCTATCCTAGGCTACCTTCTCTTCTCCCTCCCATTATTTCTCCTGATAATCTCATTAGCTTTAGTTCAATGACCAGATTCTCTACAGATTCTCAGACTTTTATATTTTGTCTCTGTATATATTCAATTCCAGGGTCTCTCTTGAATTCCATTAATTCCTGAATTAACTACTGCCTGCCATTCATCTCCATCTGGCTATCCAGTAGGAATCTCAAACCCAAATCTTCTATTTCTCCAAAAACCAAACTCTTCTATTTCTCTTGACTGCACCATCATCTTTCTAGTCCAATCCCTCAAGTTTACAATCTTGGAAATATCTCTATCCAATCAGTTAAGCCTCCTTTCACAACATCTCTCGTATCTGTCTTCCCTCTCCTAAAACAACCACCACCCTAGTTCAGGACCTTATCACTCTTACCACGACTACTATATTAGTCTCCCAATTGATCTCCTTGTCTTCAGTCTCTTCTCTCCAACACACATCTGTCACAACTGCCCACCCACTCAAATCCTCAATGGCCCCCTATTGCATCTAACACAAAATACGAACAAGTATGGCACTTAAAGAAAGCTCTCCACAATGACTCCCACCTACCATTGCACTCATTTCATATTAGTCCCCTCCGTGCACTCTCCATTTCTGTCCAACTGGCCTGCCTGGTATGCCTAGTCATGTCTGATTATTGGTGACCCCATTTTCTTGGCAGAGATACTGGAGTGGTTTGCCATTTCCTTCTCCAGCTCATTTTGCAGATGAGGAACTGAGGCAAACAGGGTTAAGTGACTTGCCCAGGGTCACACAGCTAGTAAGTGTCTGAGGACAGATCTGAACTCAGGAAGATGAGTCTTCCTGATTCCAAGACCAGTGCTCTATCCACTGTATCACTTGGCTGCCCTGATACTGAGAATAGTAGCTTTTAACTAATATTTCTTAAGAAAATTTCTTCTACATCTCTGCCCACACACAGTGATAGTTTGGTTTCATCTACTTCCCTTCTTCCCATGCCTAGTTATTGATTACGTGTCCCCTATCACTTGACTCTCGGCTAAGTTTCTTTTTTTCTTTTAAAGAGAACTTAGGTTGTAGATTACAGGTTTAGGGCTGGAAGGGGCCTTACAGTTCATCTAGTCCAATGCCAATATGTTAAAAATAAGGAAACTAAAGCCCAGGGAGGTTGAGTAACTAGCTCAAAGTCATATAGGTAATAAAATAGCTAGGAATTAAATCTAGGCCTTTTGATTCCACATACAGTATCATTTTTCTATGCTACACTGCCTTTTCCAGGGCTTTAAAATAAAATATACTTCAGTACTTCGAGGATTGATGATTTCATCCTAATAGATAAACTCTCCACTGCTAAAGACTGCAACTCCTCCATGCCTTAAATGAGGATTTCACAAGTTGCTATGCATGAAAAAAAGTCCCCTGGTGGTCAATCTTCTACCAATGAGCCTCCCCAGAGTCTGGTCAAACCTGGTGCTCAGATCACACATCATCCATCACTGAACCTGCACCTGAAGTCTTTTTGGCTTAATACAACTTGCTAGATCTTGTGCTTTACTGGCATAAACCTCTAAAACTCTGACTCACCTTTATTAGAGGACTTGTGGGAAACAGGGTTTTCCTGCTGTTATCTTTTCCTAAACAATATAGAAATCTTATATATGTCCCCAACTTTTCTTTCTTTCTTTCTTTTTTTTTTGAGAAATCATGTAAGAAGCATGCAGATCATAAAAGACTTCAGGAACAACCACTGGAGAAGAGTCCTTTAGAAACATTTAAGGATAAGATAGACTCAGTTTCTGTTTGGAACAGTTCAATTTTGTCCATGTAAGCTCCTTGAGCCAGTGACTATTTTGTGAGGTTGTTTTTTTTTGTCTATATGTATACACTAGGCACTACAGGATAGACTAAAACCATTTTGTAAGGAATTTAGATTTGTAACCAATTTAGATTAATTCCCGATATAGATCAATTCGTAGAAGGACAACAAGAGCCTAAAAAAAATCACTTTGGCCAGCAAATGCTTAATCTCTCAGCCAAGTGAAGAGATATACCAATGGCAACAATGGATTAGAATACAAATTTATTACTAAAATCTAATGGTGGAGGATGGTACACGATTTTGAGAAGTATCATCTCATAAAACAGCAAGAAGCAGTGTGGGGTGCACTAGGGAAGTGACTTTACAGAAAGCTTGGCAACAGACCCAACTAAACCTAAATATCCTAAGGGTTTTTAAGGGCAAAATTATAAGGATGACTAGAAATATTAAAAATAAAGGGGAAAGATCTGTAACCTTTTTCTCCATGATGGTGAAGCAACATTAATATTCTCATATTACAGTCACTGAACTACATGAAGAAATAAAAACAATACTCAAGAAAATAAAGAAGATGAGAATATCTGTATTATACAAATATGTAGGGGGGGGGTCTACTGGAATTAGGGCTAGAAAATGGAACCATGTTCTAATGCATTAGAATATGAGCTCATTGCAAGTAAAGATTATTTCATTCTTTGTATTTGTGACCTTAGTAGCTAGCCCAGGATCTGGTACATAATAGATGTTTAATAAACATGAGTTGAGAGGCAGCGAGGTGGCGCAGTGCATAAAGCACCGAGCCAGACCTGAGTTCAAATCTGACCTCAGACACATAACACTCACATGTGACTCTGGGCAAGGCACTTAACCCCAATTGCCTCACCAAAAAAAAAAAAAAAAACAAGGAAAAAAATAAATATGAGTTGACTGATTGGAAGCAACACAAAGTTGAGTGACTGACTCTCAAAACATCTGAAAGAATAGAGCATATTAAAGTGTTGGAAAAAATCTCAGATTTTTTTATTACATAAAAAGGTAGGGGATAAAAATATTAATTATTGTTTCATGTTTTTACTTTCACATCTCTACAGAGAGATAAAATTATTCTTTATAAGGATAACTATATATACTCTCACTCACTGTCTGAGGGCATCCTCAATGAGGGTTTGAGAACGAAACAGATTTTTGTAAAGGATATTCTACAACAGACTATATACACACATTCAGTTGACTAAATGGTATAGAAAATATAAGATTTATGTTTACTTTTTGTGGCTTAAAAAAAGCATTTACTTGACAAATATGCCAGAAAGGCTCTCCTCCATGATATCTCCCATAAATATGTCAAAATCTAGCAAACTTTCTTGAAAGATATAAGAGGTCCAAATCAAAGAGGAATGGTAAAGTTTTTCTGATGTGCCTGTTTGCAGATGTTGTATTGATTACAAGTTTTAGAACACTGCAGAGGCTCCTAAAGAAATCCATAATCACTTAGGAGTTTGGCCTAACAATCCAGACACACAAAAAAGACCAGGGGAAAAAATGAAAATACTTATTATCCAGATCATGTTATACAGTTGAAAGGAAAATCCAAAGAGCTGGTCCCAGAACTGAACAGAAAAGGGAAAATGCACTGTATTGCCTTTAGGGAATTGCATAGCACTTTGAATGACTCCTTGTTTCTCTCTGAAACAAAGGCATATCTTGTTAACATCAGAGTTCTTCTAATGATGTTGTATGGCTTGCAAGTCATGGAATACTAGTATCCCAAAAATTCCAGGTATAAGTAACCAAAAAGGCAATGAAAAAGCACAAGGTGGGTATGAATAGAATTCAACAAATTTATCAATAAGGAGCTGAGCAGGAGAAACAAGATAAAAGATATTATCAGAAAGCTGTATGATCAGAAAATAAGGTAAGCTGATGAGGTATCAAGAGATAAATAATGGACAGACTGCCTGTTCTACTGGTAGTCATACAATATTAAAAGATCTAGAAGAAAGAAACCAATGAAAGATTTATGGGAGACTGTAGGAAAACAAGTTGCACGGGATAAGAAGGTATGTATGGGCTGTGATCTGCACCCTTGAGAGAAGGATTTACAAGGGTGAGATCAAAGATCCAAAATATCTGAGGCACTCTGGAGATACAGAAACAAAAATGGAAGAGAATAGCTCCTAACCTCAAAAAACTTACATTGCACTTAACTGGAATGCTTGAATTAAAAAACTAGAAGACTTCAAAGTACTTTCGAGCCCTGTGTATTCTATGACTAAAAAATACATCTTAATTTTGGTATATTTATTCTTAGATCAAGTTACTTACCAATAAATACAAAACTCACCTAGGAATGCATCCACCAAGCAGCTGATTCCACGCATAGCACGAAAAAATATATGAGGCAGATGTTTAAGGCAGGGATATTGATTCAATTCTTGTGTCATTCCACTCACATTCAGGAACTGTTCCTGAAATTTGGGAGTAGAGCTTATAATGGCTGGATTACTCAAATCCACGGGATTACTATCAAAAAAGAGAAAAAGTTTTACTTTACTAAATTAACTACAGTCCCTTAACAAGTAGAACTTTGATAATATAAAATGAGATATGATTTAAGAATCTGGCTCTAGAAGGTCATTGTATGTGCATATCACATATAACCAGTCCAGTTTTTATGTTACTCAGTCAAGTGTCACCTGTCCTCTCTACTCCTCAATTTCTTGGTCTTCAAGATTGGTTTGGACCTGATAGCTTCAAAGTTCCATTCAATTCAGTTTAAACAATAAGGACATACTATGTGCAAGCCACTGTTCTAGAACTAAGATAAAGGTGCTAGGGTGAAGACAAAATGAAAAAGTCCCAGCACTTACAGAACTTAAATTCTACTGAGGGATATGACATATGCATAAATGAATATAATACAAAGAAATCTGAGGATGAAGAGAGTATTAACAAGAGTGGAAGGAGAGCAGAAATCAAGGAATACTTAAGAGGTATAAAGAATGAGAAAGGAGTTCATTCTAGACACAGGGGACAGCCTGTATGAAGCCCCAGAGACATGCAACAGATTGTTATGGAATAGCATACATGCCAGTATGCTTGAATGGACAATGCATGAAAAGTAACACAAAATAAGGATAGAAGGGCAGGCTGCAGCCAGACTGTGAAAAATCTTTAAATGGCCCACTAAAGTGTTTCTACTTTATCCCAGAGGCACCAGGAAGCCACCAATTATGTCTGAGCAACTCTATTCTTTGATCCCATAACCAAGTCCCTCTACCTCTCTGGCATTCAGTTTCCTCACCAACAAAATGGCAAAGAATAGGGGAAAGGGAATGAAGTGATCTCTAACATCTCTTCTAGTTCTAACAATTCTGTTTAAGGTTATGCCTTTCTTACACTTAGAACAGAGACACAAATGTGGCCTTACAGCCAGTGGCCTAAGGATTTCCTGGCTCCAATACCTGTCTATGCTATTTATAAAAAAATGAGTGCCAAAGAAGGTGCATAGGGCCTGCTATTACTGTCTTCCTGGGAAAATGTCCAGTAGCAAAAAAGACACCACCAATCTTTGCAATAAAACCTGTTAAGTGTAGGAGACTTCCCCACCTGCAAGAGGAAACCTTGACTACAAGTTTACATGAGCTCTTTCTTTGACTTGTCCAGAGAATAAGATCACTGTGTACTAGAGGGATTTTCAAATTTTTTAATGTCCACTAGCATGGATTTTATTTTTCTCAACCAATTACATGGATAAAATAGTAACAAAGAAATGGTAAGGTAAATCAGGCAATGATTGTAGAGATAAATATTTAACATAACAGTAAAATTCATGAACAGATTTATACATGAATATTTGGATTCAGAATATATTTGAAATAGTTTATAACTGCATATATGATTAGCTATATAATCCCATAAAACTACATTTATACATAATTTGTTAGGAGTCCAATTTTCATTCATTGTCTTTAATATATAAAAATTAAAAAGAAAAACTTTAATCATTAGGTATGTAGATAAAACATATAATTTGTTTTCTTAAAAATTAATAAAGCCTCATTTTCATTACAATAGCAACATTTTTTTGTTGAAAACAACTCCCTAACACCTAGAAAAATGCTAAGAATGTAGTAGAAAATAATAAATACCAAAGAGAATTTTTTTTTACCACACTGATTTACTTTAAAGAGTCTGGTAAAATGTAAACACTCTTTCTTGGATGAAAGAAATTGTCTTATATTTTGATTTGGTTCAATTAATAAGCAGTAAGCCTCTATTACATATTCTAAACAGCAGTAGGCACTATATATATATATATATTTTTAGGCAATTGGGGTTAAGTGACTTGCCCGGAGTCACACAGTTAGTAAGTGTCAAGTGTTTGGTCTGAGGCCAGATTTGAACTCAGGTCCTCCTGACTTCAGGGCCGGTGCTCTATCCACTGCGCCACATAGCTGCCCCTGTATTAGGCACTATTAAGATTTAAAAGAAGCATAAAAGAAGCTTTCAATCTCACTGAAGAGATAATGCATAAACAAGGGAAACATTTAAACAATACCTTAACATATGTAAAAAGCGAAACCATGTCTGTGCAATGCAGTCATTATCCATTTCAGGAGGGATAAGACTGGCATCTTCATCAGGAACTTTAAATTGAGGAAATGAAGGACCATATGTAAAACGTAGTAACCTAGGAGAAGAAATACTGATTCATGAAATTCACCCTTAAATAGCTATAGAAAAAAACAGAAAGCATTAAAATATGAAGAGAAGACATCCAATTCAACTGAAAGACAAAAGCTAGCTAAACTTCAGATGAACCTGGAAGGAGACACATAGCAAATGACATCATGTAATTTATTTGATTCTACTCTCTCAAAATGTACAATATAATTGTGTTAAGGGTTTTAGGTAAGATTTTATTTCTCATTTAGAACATCTGAGTACAGATGTTGATGGTTCTTAAATTTTCAATAAAAAAAAAATTAAAGAAATAGCATAAATACATTCTAATTTACCAAACAAAAAAGATTCACTTCTAGCAAGAACTTCTAGTGAATGTTACTGATCAATCATTAAATTTCCTTTTTATAAAAAACATCTATTGTATAAAGCATTGAACCTGCTGAGGTACATCATCATTTACTCAACAAATATTTATTGAGTGCCTACTATAACAGACAAGGGCCTTGTGTTAGTTACCATGGGGAATCAGGCATGGTCTCTGACTTCAAAGAATTTCTAAGCTAGTAGGAGGAGAGTAAGAAGTCAAAATACACTAAGTACCACAAAAAAAAGTAAAGTGCTTTAAGAATTCAGTAGAGGGAGAGAGCACACTTATTAGAAGAGAGGAGGAGTAGAAATCAAGGAAATCTTAATGAAAAAGGTAATATTTTGGCTGGGATTTGAAGGACAGGTAGAACTTTCATAAGCAGAAATGGGGTTGAGATATATAGCTTGAGTGCTATATTCACACATCTAAAGGATTGTCATAAGGAAGTGGGCTTAGACTTACCTTGATTGGTCCTGGAGAAGAGAAACAGGGTTAACTGATAGGAGCTTATAGAAAGGCATATTTTAGCCACCCCCCCAAAAAAACAACAAACCCTTCCCAATACTCAGAACTGTTCAGTGAATGGAATTGTCTTCCTCAGGACATAATGAATTTGTCATTAAAGGTCTTCAAGCAGGGGCTGGAAGTTGGGGATTTGTAGAAAAGAGTTGTGCTTCACGTAGCAGAAAGGCTGGACTAAAAGACCTCTGAAGTTCTTTCCAACTCAAGTACTAGGATTCTATCTCTAAATTCTATTTCACAAATAATTAAGATAAAAATTGGGGAAAATCTGCTTTGTTCAAATAAATAACCAAGGACTTTATCAATATAGTTAGTGTGACCAATTTAAGGAAGAAAACCACTTACCTAGAAGTGAGTGCACAAATAGCTTTGCTCCACTGCTCCACCACAGCTGGGTGATGCCTCCAGTTGGCCACCATCTCCTTGGCAGTTTTCCAGTAGGGTGGGGTTGGGAAACAACGAGTACAAGCTAGTAACCAGACCTCAAAGAGAACACCAATCAACTTCTCTGCTAGATTCTCAGCAATGCCACCTTACCAAAAGTGAAAAAAACATATATTTGGCATGCTTATTATGAAAACATTATAGTTCAAATATTAATGTGGGGAGAAGTCATAAAATAATTAAACAAACTTCACTGCATATGTGTAGTCATGATAATAACTAGCATATTAGTCTGACATTTTGCCTTCAGATAATTATTGTCCTCAATAATGAAACTTTAAAATACACATTACAGCTAAGTTACTGTAACAGAAATCTTGAATAAATTCAAAAAGAATTTAAATTTTTAGGTTAAATTGCCATTTATCAAATAATAGCAATCAATAAGATTTTCAGTAAAGCTCTGAAACCACTTTAATGCCCTCTTTTGTGCAATATTACACTCAAGGCACAAGGAGACTGATAAGGAAAGAGAAGGAATAACAAACACACGAACACCAATCTTTCATAAATGGAAATGCATCCCCTTGCTGCTGTTTTTAAATTACTGTGGGGGAAAAAAGAAGTTAGATGATAGATATCCTTTATTACATGCGGCTTCAGAGGGCAGAACTAGGACCAATGAACAGAAATTATAGAAGATTTCAGTTCAGCAAAAAAGACAGGACTTTGCAGTACTTAGAGCTATAGAAAGAAAGGAAGAAAGGAAAGAAAGAAGGAAAGAAAGAAAGAAAGAGAGAGAGAAAGGAAGAAAGAAAGAAAGCATTGCCCTGAGAAACAGTGAATTCCATGTCACTGAAAATGTTCAAGCTGAAGCTGAGGATGATTATAAAGGTGATTCCTATGACCTCTAGGTTCCTTTCAGCTGTGAGATTCTGATTCCTTTCTAAAAAGTATCCTCTGACAAAACTAATACAACCAAGATTAGATGGAAAGCAGAAATCCGGGAAATAAATTTTACAGTTAGTGTCTCTGATAAAGGCCTCATTTCTCAAATATATAGAGAACTGAGTCAAATTTATAAGAATACAAGTCATTCCCCAATTAATAAATGATCAAAGGATATGAAAAGGCAGTTTTCAAATGAAGAAATCAAAGCTATCTACCATCATATGAAAAAAAAAATGCTCTAAATCACTACTGATTAGAGAAATGCAAATGAAAACAACTCTGAGATACCACCTCATACCTATCAGATTGGCTAATATGACAGAAAAGGAAAATGATAAATGTTGGAAAAGATGTGAGAAAACTGGGACATTAGTGCACTACTGGAGTTATGAACTGATCTAACCATTCTGGGGAGCAATTTGGAACTATGCCCAAAGGGTTATAAAACCATGCATGCCATTTGATCCAGCAATACCTCTACTAGGTCTGTATCCCAAAGAGATAAATTTTTTTGAAAAGGGGAAAGGACCTATTTGTATAAAAATATTTACAGCAGTTCTTTTTGTGGTAGCAAAGAATTGGAAATTGAGAGGATGTCCATCAATTGGGGAATGGTTGAACAAGTTGTGGTATATGCTAGTGATGGAATACTACTGTGCTATAAGAAATGATGAGCAGGCTGATTTCAGAAAAATCTGGAAAGACTTACAAACACTGTCACAAAGTGAAATGAGCAGAACCAGAACACCATATAGAGTAACAGTAATATTGTATGATGCTGTGACTCAGTTATACCCAGAAATACAATGATCCAAGACAGTTCCAAAGGACTGAACTGATGGAATCTGAATGCAGATTGAAGCGTACTATTTTTCACTTTATTTTCTTTTTGTGTTTTTTTTTTGGGGGGGGGAGTTGTGTCTTCTTTTACAACATGACTAATATGGAAATATGTTTTGCATATTTTCATATTTGCACATGTATAACCTGTATCAAATTGCTTACTATCTTTGAGGGAAGGGAAGGGAGAAAAAGAATTTAGAGTTCAAAATTTTGTTTGTTTTGTTTTTAAGCAATTAGGGTTAAGTGACTTGCCCAGGGTCACACAGCTAGTAAGTGTCAAGTGTTTGGTCTGAGGCCAGATTTGCACTCAGGTCCTCCTGACTTCAGGGCCGGTGCTCTATCCACTGCGCCACCTAGCTGCCCTGGAGTTCAAAATTTTTAAAAATGAATGTTAAAGGTTTTTACATGTATTTGGGGAAAAAAGAAAATTTTGAGGAGGTGGAGCCAAGATGGTGGAGTAAAAGCAGTGACCTGCTTGAGCTCTCCCCCAAACCCCTCCAAATACCTATGAAAAAATAGTTCTAAACAAATTCTAAAGCAGCAGAACCCACAAAAAGACAGAGTGAAACAAATTTCCAGCCCAAGACAACCTGTATGATTGATCAGAAAGGTATATAGTGCAAGGCTGGGAGAGGAATGCAGTTCTGCATGGGCGCGCAGGCCACAGTGAACCTGGAGCAGGCCTCAGAGGACTGAATCACAGGCAGCTGTGGCAGTTTCCAGACTTCTCAACCCATGAATGCCAAAGACAACTTAGAAGGTCAGTGGGAAAAGTCTGTTTCTGTGGTGGTGAGAGAGAAGCATGGTGGGGTTCCAGTTCTAGTCCCCAAGCTCGGCCCCGGGGCGGCGGCTGCCTCCTAAGCTTCTGGTCCACAGACTGAGGGGGAATCGAGTGGCTGATCAGAGGGGGATTGCAGAGATCTCTCTGCTGGTGCAGGATTCTCTTGCTTTGCCCGTGCTTGGATCTGGGTCACAGTTCTGGGTGGTGGTCCTGGGGTGAGGAGGAGTTTAGCATGGTGGAGCTTGTAGTAATGCTTGTGATCACTCACAGAGCAGAGCACAGGCCAGGAAAGGAGTAAACACCTCACCCTTGATCATACCACCTTGGAAGAACTGAAAATTTACAGGTCCCTAGAAGTATCTCTGAAAATAGCTGCACAAAAGCCCTGGAGCTTGGGACAGTACATTCTCCACACTGGAAACAGACCCCTACCTTCACAAAGAGTTTATAACTCAAGTAATTGTCCAGGATCATGAGCAAGCAGCACAAAAAGAGTCATACTATATTATCTTACTTTGGTGACAAAGAAGATCAAAACATACAACCAGAAGAAGACAACGAAGCCAAAGCTCCTACATCCAAAGCCTCCAAGAAAAATATGAATTGGTCCCAGGCCATGGAAGAGATCAAAAAGGATTTTGAGAAGCAAGGAAGAGAAGAAGAGGAAACATTGAGACTGATGCTAAATGAGATCCAAAAAAATACTGAAGAAAATTACACCTTAAAAAATAGTCTAACCCAAATGGCAAAAGAGGTCCAAAAAGCCAACGAGGAGAAGAATACCCTACAAAGCAAAATTGGCCAAATGGAAAAGGAAGTCCAAAAGCTTACTGAAGAAAATACTTCCTTAAAAATTAGAATGGAGCAATTGGAAGCTAGTGACAATTTGAGAAATCAAGGCACTGTAACACTAATCCAAAAGAATGAAAAAATAGAAGAGAATGTGAAATATCTCATTGGAAAAACAACTGACCTGGAAAATAGATCCAGGACAGAGAACTTAAAAATTATTGGACTATCTGAAAGCCATGATCAAAAAAAGAGCCTAAACATCATCTTTCAAGAAATTATCAAGGGAAACTGCCCTGATATTTTAGAACTAGAGGGCAAAATAGAAATTGAAAGAATCCACCAATCACCTCCTGAAAGAGATCCCCTAAGGAAAACTCCTAGGAATATTGTAGCCAAATTCCAGAGTTCCCGGGTCAAGGAGAAAATATTGCAGGCAGCCAGAAAGAAAAACAATTCAAGCACTGTGGAAACACAATCAGGGTAACACAAGATTTAGCAGCTTCTACATTAAGGGACCAGAGGGCATGGAGTACGATATTTCGGAGGCAAAGGAGACAGGACTACAATCAAGAATCACCTACCCAGCAAAACTGAATATAATCCTTCAGGGTACAAAATGGTCATTCAATGAAATAGGGGACTTTCAAGCATTCCTGAGGAAAAGACCAGAGCTGAATATAAAATTTGACTTTCAAATACAAGACTCAAGTGAAACATGGAAATGATAAACAGGAAAGAGAAATCATAAGTGACAGGAAACAGAAATCATAAGAGACTTATTAAGGTTGAACTGTTTACATTCCTACAGGGAAAGACGATATTTGTAACTCATGAGTCTTTTGTCAGTATTAGGGTAGTGGGAGGGAAAAAAATTATATGTATGTATAGACAGACAGATAGAGGGCACAGGGTGAGTTGAAGGTGAAGGGGTGATATCTGGAAAATAAAATTAAGGGGTGAGAGAGGATTATACTGGGAGAAGGAGAAAGGGAGAAGTAGAATGGGGTAAATTATCTCACATGAAATAGACAAGAAAAGGCTTTTACAATGGAGGGGAAATGGGGGAAAGTGAGAGGGAATGAATGAATCTTATTCTCATAGGATTTGGCTTAAGGAGGGAATAACATACACAATGGGGTATGGAAATCTATCTTACCCGACAGGAAAATAAGGGGGGGAAGGGGACAAGAGAGCAGGGGATTGATAGAGGGGAGGGCAGATTGCGGGAAGGGATAATCAAAAGCAAACACTTCTGAGGAGGGACAGGGTCAAAAGAGAGAATAGAATAAATGAGGGGTAGGATAGGATGAAGGAAAATATACTTAGTTTTTTACAACATAACTACACATCTATAACTTGTATCGAGATGCTTGCCTTTTCAATGAGGGTGGGTGGGAAGGGAAGAAGGGAGAAAATTTGTAACCCAAAGTTTTAAAAATACATGTTAAAAATAAAAAAAATTTTTTAAATTAAAAAATAAAATAAAATATGGGGATGAGTTCAAAAAAAGAAAATATTATTAATGTAAGAAAAAAATCTTCTGAACATCAGCAGAAGGGGCAGACGAAACAAAGAGGTCTTCTCCCTTGGAGAGGATCTTTAGAGGACATAGGAACTACAATGCCAATTTAGAAGATGTGCGTATTGCTTTCTGGTACACCTAAGAGTCTGTAATACGAGATTATCTTTAAATGGGTTAGCTGTAGGATATTATGCTGCCATATTTACACAAGATGCAGGGTTTTTACAACAAAAGAGTTACAAAGGCTGGATACCACAGTCGTGTACATCTCATTTATGGTATGTAAACTAGCTCAGATTTTTAGCCTCTACTTGTAGGAAGCTGTGGTAAAAAGATGACAACAGGGGAAACAGTAGGATGGAAGGAGATCATCAGACAAAGAGGAAGCAGGAACAGGGATGTAGACCAAATTGGGGAAATGAAAAGGAAAAAGGGTAAGGGGGTACTAAGAAAACTTAACAAGGGGAGAGGCTTAACAAGAAGAGAATGTATAAACCTTGAAATAACATTCGAGGACAGTATAGAAGGAGGTATGGGTCTATAAGTTCACATCCTTCCCTCACCATCCCCTCAAAAAAAAGAAAATTTAGCCCTTTACTTAGGAAAGAGATTCTTAAAACTTTTTTTGTATCCTGGAACCCTCTCATAGTCCTGGACTCTTTCTCTGAATAATACTTTTGAATGCACAAAATATTAAAGATTGTAAAGGAAACCAATTACATTAAAATACTACTACCAAGATAGTCTTTAAAATACAAGTTCACGGACCCCAGGTTAGGAACCCTTGATTTATATGTCACTCTGTTAACATACAATTGTAATTCAAACTTTTATAATATTTCATAACTTTTTAATAAGACACATTGACAACTTTGTATATATGTCATGATTTGTAAAGTTTTTTCTTTAAATAAAAATAGAAGTTTATTATATGCTTACATTAGAAAAATATAATGTTTGAAGTAATTACTGCTGAAGCATTATCAAGTTTTTGAAAGTTTCCAAATCTACAGAAATGCTAAGTTGGTTTTACAGATGGTTATTCCTTATTGAAATTATCAGTCCATCAATGTCTTTTGAGATGAATTGCATTCAATTCAAACAAACATTTATTAAGCACCTACTATGGGTAAAGATAAGTGCTATATGGAAGTATCACTATAGAATACAGGCCAAAATCTCAGGCTGAGCTCCTGAATCAGGTCCAAACTCAGTTTCAATGGCCAACAAAATGTATCTTCAAACAAAGCTCTTTCTCAGAGACATCTTTGCTACTGATCGTTTTAAGTACCCAAGAAATTTCTAAAGCTGATGTGTTCAAAGGTTACAATGTGCTTGAGGAACAGGGCCAAATATAAGTTATTTTAAAAACAGAACAAAAACTCTACAAAATAACAACAACGAAAAACCCCAAATACACATACCTTGAACAGTTGGCATTGCCAGAAGAATGTCATTAATCTGCAGGAGAAATAACAATAAAACTTCCCATGTTTCTCGTGCCATGATGGTTGACTCACGGGCTAGTTTCTGGATGGCTCTCAAAACCTGTAAGCATAGTCTAATCTGATTGGAGCCCTGTTCCTGCCTATAGAGAAAACAGGTAACAGAATTGAAATAAACAGATTTGTTGCTAAATGTTTTCCCACAAAAGAGTCAAATCAACCATTCAGAGCACTGGAGTCACACTAACATTATTTTTTTCGTTTGAAAAATACTCTATTATCGCGCTCAAACAGGTGGTCAAACCTAAGCAAGCATCAACATAGTCATATCAGAAAGTCTAGATCTTAAGCTCTCATAATGGGATGTCAATTTGGCCTCCTTTGTGTCAGGTACTTGAAACTTAAGGCTCTCACTTTGATTATCAATGTAGTACAACAAAGCTACAGGTACTTGTTAGAGGACACATGATCATGAATTGGATGAGATATAGCACCAGTCTAAAGCTTAAGACACCTGACATTTGAGAAGGATGGTCTAATGGACACATTAACTATATGTGTACCTAGATTCTTCAAGTTCTAACCTTTTACTCTGTGAGAACATCAGAAAGCAAAATGCTACATTGTCCCATCTCCTCACATAAGCTGATTTAATGCTATACACTCTGCCTTAATAGGATGATAAAATCACTTGGTTAAAATGTTTCTTTATCTTTTGTATAATTGCCTTTGGAAATACCATTATGTCACTCAGCATCTTTATATAAAGTTCTGTACAAAATGTTCCTGCCTGTGATCTTCAGAGAATACACATCATAAAAACCTAATATTTACTGATTCTGTTGAACAAATTAAATCTTGATTTCTTAAAGGGAAGCAGCATGGTACAATGAAAGGAAAGCTGTATTAGAAAGTAAGAGTCCTGGTTTTTAAGTCCATGTTCTGCTGCTAACCAAACTATGGAATTTTGAGCAAATCATTCTCAATGTCAATTCTTCCTTTTGTTAAATGAGAGGGTTGGCCTAGATGATTTCAAAGGTACCTCCCTAGCTTCAATGGTACATGAATATAAGGATTCCATCCTTAAATAGGATAAAATCAGCTTGGTGATCAAAAGAAGTTACATCATTCACTCAAAAAGCATTAGGCATCTACGGTGTATGGGAAATTGTGCTAGGTGCTAAAAAGTCATGAATAAGACACTGTCCTTACTCTCCAAGACCTAACAATCTTATATGGGAAAGAGAGTTGTCCATCCCAGGTAGAACAATGTGAGCAAAGGCACAGGGGAAAAACAAGACAGAATAAGATCAGCGAATGGCAAGCAGTCGAGTTTGGATAGAATCAAGAATGCATGACGGGACATGTATAGCATGTCCCAAAAGTCTTAGTGCAGTTTAAACTTTTAATAACTTTAACTGTACTACGACTTTTGGGACAACCTGTATAAGGCTGGGAAGGGCAAGTGGGCTAGATTATAAAAGTCCTTGAGTGGTAGCCTAATGAAAGTTTCCTATAAGTCAGCAATTGTTAACAATAAGTATGGATAAAGCAGTACAATCAGATGGAATAAATGTCTATGGAAGGGGGAATGTCGAGTATAAAAGAGCAAAGAGTATTATGAGTCCTTGGGTAGATGGGGGAGTGGGAGATGGAGCAGCCATCACTGGAGAAGCAGTATTCTCAAGAGAAGTCCAAATAAATTTAAGAGCATCAACAAAGTTTAAACCTGTACGGCAAAGAGTTTTTAAAAATCCTCTATCTTGGAATGAGCTATTTGTTGTTGTTTTAAGGGGAGAGGGGCAAAATTCATGAGAAGCATTAGATTAACACCATTCAGTCAACAATTTGTAAAACTACTGGTGTCATTTAATGCAGAAAGAGGTGATCTCAAACTCCAGCTCTTTGGTACAGTAAGCAATACTCATCTGATATAACTTTACGAGACATAATTGGCCAGGCTCTTTCTAATATTTAGACATTACATTTTTTTCCTTTCTTAGGATATTGTAAACGAGTTGCAAGCAAAGGATATATAGTTCTTAGAAAAAAGTCTGAGTGCTAGGTAGCAACGAACATAGTAGAATGGAAAGAATTATAGAAATGGAGTTAGAAAACCTGGCTTGGACTTCTGGCTCTGCCACTTACTATGTGACTTTGGACAAGTTCACTTCAACTTCTCCAAACCTCAATTTCTTTATCAACGAAATGGGCATAATGATCCCTGTACCACCTACTTCACATGGTTGTTATGGCGATCATATAGAACAAATAGATGTGGAAGTGCTCTGAAATCATAAAGCATATGTATGGAAGTGTATAAATGTGAATTACTTTAAAGTAGGAAACTTAGTTTTTTAGTCTACAGTGGGGAACATGTCACAATATCTTCACTTATGCTAACAAACATGCTAGAGGTGAAACTGAACATTCAAAGTGCATATCCACATATGGTTCAAGAAAAAGTCTAGTTGGGTAAATTTTATACAAATTCCTATTCAATTCTCCTTTTTAACTTGAAGTACAGCATTAGTCTCCAACCAGAAAGTCATCATCCAAAAGGCTAATAGTGCTTTATCATCAAGTACCCATCATTAAACTACATTTCTTGAGCACTCTAAACTTTGTAAAGTACCTTTACCTCATTTGATCCTCAGAACAACCTCATGAGGTAGGTAACACAGATATTAATGTCTTCCCAACACACACACACACACACACACACACACACACACACACAGTCACTCCACTTTATAGATAATGAAACTGAGACTAAGAGGTTAACTAACTTGTTCATGGTCACACAGTAATTACAGATAGGACTCAAACCCAGGTGTCTAAAGACCAGCACTCTTTCAATTATACCAGTTATCTCTCAATTTCTATAATTTCTTAAAAAAGAAAATTCTATGGTTAAAAAACATTTGATGATACTATAAAAAGTCAGAGAACTGCCAGTTATTTCTTAAACTGTTTCTTACCTTGGTACAAAAAGATTTTGCAGGTGTTTTAAAATAGTTTGAACATATAGGTTGGGTTCTTTGATGACTGGCAATGGAATGGAGTCTTTTGGTAATACTAGGGCCATAATCCAATCTGTATACACATCCACACAATATTTTACAGTATCTCCATCCAATGGAAGGGTCAGTCCATAGCAAATCACTTCCATGGTCCATTTTACCTAAGCAAAGTAAAATAACAACATTAGATTATTGTTCTACTTTAAACACAATTTTAACTAAATAATGAGGCTAAATTAATCACTTTTTACTGCTATAACATCAGAAGGGACAGTACAGTCATCTTGATACATACATATTTACCTAGGACATAAATTTTCTAAATACCACGTGTTACTACATGTATTCTGAGCAGACACTTGAAGCAAAAAACAAAGCACATTTTAAAATGCCAAACCTGCACAAAGCATAACACTTCTGGGGGAAAAAAAGTAGACATTCATGTCACTTTCAAGTTCTAGTCAATAGTCAAACCCCCATCTATTCCTTCAAAACATCACATAAATCCAATAAGCACCTCTGTGCTGTCACATATACTTCCCATTTTAGTTCAGTTCCTATCTTTAGGTGTAAATAATGAAGATAAAAGTGGGATCCAAATATTGCATTCATATCAGATCACTAATCTCTAGCTCAGCAGTACCTTCCAGGCTGACTTGCTATAGTTTGGGCCCAAGACCTCTCACACTTTGATATTCAAAGGCTGACTTTCAAAGGAACACTGCCTCCTAAGCCTCCAGTGACCTTTCCCGGCCCCCTTAACTAACAAACAATGGGGAGCTGCTGAGATAAGGAGTTCCAAGGGACCTGAACTCCACTTCCAGCTCTGGCATCTCTTCTTCCCACCAGTCTCACTACTGTCATCATTGTTTTCCACGAGTACCATTCTTTCTCCACACCTCCAGAAAAGTAGGAATGCTCCTACTTCCATACTAACATGGAATTTGGCTTCTCTGCAGAAATCCTAAACCTATGACCATCATCTCTCTCTGCAGAAGCCACCTGAGGACAGGATGGTGATGGAGTTGTTATGAAGACAATAAGCTCATAGCGACTGTTGTTTTTTTAATAATGAGAATACATGCTAGGCCTTCTAATTAGGGGTCTTTTAGAATTAAGATGGGAACTACAGTAGCAGGAGTAGAGGGCATGCCTTATACATCTCCAAAATAAAACTACTGGAATCAAAAGCTGGAACCTTTTATTTTAAAAAGCAGCTAGTCTCTGAGTTGTGTGCCTATTTCAGTAGGAATGAAAAGGCCTCTCATAAACAACAGGATCCTAGCCAGTACGGAACATAGATAATAAAATGATTCAATCCACTCCTGATTATACTCACTTACTTCAGAAATGGGGCAAACTAGATGGCGCTAAAAGAAAAAATGCCTATCTTGTTAGGCAATAATTGTACCAGTAGGATATATTATACTTTTAAAAACTTCACAAGTCTGCAACACCTACTATCTTTTAATGATGTGTTAAGTTTAAGTAAGCTGCATATAGTAGAAGACAGCAGTTTCATATGTTGTCTTCTTTTTCTATTCTTTGTTTAGGAAAATGTTCACATTTACTCATATCTGTACAATTTTATAATACTAAAAAAAAATACATCCAAGTTTTTAGATACTCAACCATACAAAGACACACTTACTTCTTTGTCTGTTTTTAACAAACTTTCACTTCCAGCCCCTGAAGAGGCATTTAAGGCTTGTCCAAGAGGACGTACTACTGCATTTGCAACATCTCGTCCAACACTATCAGGGAAGCTGTGAAGTACACTAGTGTGACCCTGATCATTCTGAATAACCAAATGAAGTGACCGCCACTCAGAGTACATTGTGCCGCTAAAGTACTATCCAAATGGTACCTGAAAAAAAAAAACAGTTATGTGACAGATATGTTTTTGTAAATAAAAAATTTAATTTGTGCTTCATAGCAAGATAAAATAAATCCAGAAGGAACATCATATTATCTCTTTTAAAACTGAGAGCTACAAACCGCAAACAATCAAGTCAATGGAATCTATCTAAATGTTCCAGGCATATCCCCTGAATAATACCTAGATGGAAGGCCAAATGAGGAATAAAAAACTTTAGCTCCACAGATAAAGTGCAACTGTGAGACCACTTAGCAAACTTCTTTACCTCTCAAGTCTCAGTTTTCCTCAAGGTAAAATGGGCATGATAATATTTTGTTCATCTAAAAGAACTATTATAAGGATACAATAACATAGACACATACACACACGCACACATACATATGTATATATAGATATATATATATCTATATATACACACAGATAGACACATACACACACACACACACACAAATGCTGTGAAAAGAGGAAAGATTCCCTCTTCAACAAGAATTACTGAGAAAAATGGAAAGCAGTTTGGCAGCAATTAGGCTAATATCAACATCTCTTATCACACATCAAATACAATTCAAGTGGATACATGATTTTAAAGAAGTCATTCCACCAACAAAAATATTAGAGAACTGAAGAGACTACCATTCAAATCTATGGTTCTGGGAATAATTCCTCACCAGTCAAGTTATATAATACATCACAAAAAACAAAAAAGGCATTTGAGACTACAAAAAAATTAAAAAGCTTTAGCACAAACAAAATCAATGCAATCAAAGCAATAAAACCACTGCTGGGGGTGGGGGAGGCACAGAACTTCAGTTCAAATATTTCTAATATCTTAAGATACAGAGGAAATTGATAAATATATAAATTCATACCTGATAAATATATAATAATAAAATATATAATAAATGATAACTATATAAAACAAGAACCATTCTCCAATGGACAAATTCCCCAATGAGTCAAAGGATTTGAATTGTTTACAAAGGAAGAAATGTAACCATATTTTTTTAAATGCTCCAAATTACTAATAAGACAAATTATTAGTTTGGAGAAGTTATGGTAAAGCTAGGGATGCCAATATGCTGTTGATGGACCTGTGAATTAACCCAACCATTCTGAAAAACAATTTGGATCTTAGAAAAGCTGCTAAACTTTTCAGACCCTTCAACCCAGCAATCCCACTAGGCAGCATACACCCCAGGGGAGATGGGGGGGGAGGGGTGTCATCACAGGTCAAAGGAAAGATCCCATGGAAACTAAAATGTTTATAGCTACACTTTGGGTGTTAGGGAAAAAAAAAATGGAAACAAAATGAGTATCCATCAACTAGGCACAAATTATGGTATACCAATATAATGGAATATTATTGTGCATTAGGTACCTGCTTAATTCAGAGAATTCAGAAAATCTTAGAAACTGATACACAGCAGTGTAATTAAAATAATATGTACATAGACCACAATAGAATAAAGGAAAACACTTATAAAAAAAGAATTCAAGTCAATTCAATGACAAAGCTTGACTCCAAGGGACTGAGGGCAAAACAAAATTTCCCTCCTCTCAGCACAGAGGTTGACTACATGTTTGGAATGAGATATTCATGTCATCTAATTTAGTTAACGTGCCAGTTTGTTTTATTTAACTTTATATCTCTTTATTGGTAAATGAAAGGAATGTTAAAAAAAAAAGGAGTATCAATATAGCAAAGAACTGTAAACAGTAGACGACCACTGACTCCAGCCAGTCTCTAAACAAGTTATTGTACATTAAATGTATTGAAATGTTACTGTGCTTTAAGAAATGATGAATTTTTTTCTTTTTTTTTTAAATTATTTACTTTTAGTTTTCAACATTCACTTCCAAAAGATTTTGACTTTTAAATTTTCTCCCCCTCCTTCTCCTCCCCCCTCCCCAAGACAGCATGCAATCTGATACAGGCTCTACTTACACATTCATATTAAGCATATTTTCCCATCAGTCATGATGTAAAGAAGAATTAAAACTGATGGGAGGAACCACAAGAATGAATCAATGAAACAAAAGGAAAGCAAATAATATGCTTCCATATGCACTCAGACTCCATAGTTCTTTCTCCGGATGCGGACAGCATTTTCTATCATGAATCTTTGGAGTTGTCTTAGATCCTTGTACTGAAGAGCCAAGTCTATCAAAGTCAGTCATCACACAATGTGGCTGTTACTGTGTATAATGTTCTCCAGGTTCTGCTCATTTCACTCAACATTTGTTCACATAAGTCTTTCCAGGTTTTTCTGAAATCTGCCTACTCATCATTTCTTATAGCACAATAGTATTCCATTACATTCATATACCACAACTTGTTCAGCCATTCCCCAACTGATGAGCATCCCCTCAATTTCCAATTCTTTGACACCCCAAAAATAGATGTTATAAATATTTTTGTACAAATAGGTCCTTTTCCCTTTTTTTGGATGTCTTTGAAATACAGACCTAACAGTGGTATTGGTGGATCAAAGGATTTGCACAATTATATAGCTCTTTGGGCATAGTTCCAAATTGCTCTCCAGAACGGTTGCATCAGCTCACAACTCCACCGACAATGCATCAGTGTCCCAATTTTCCCACATCTTCTCCAACATTTATCATAGAAATGATGAATTTTTTTTAAATGGTATAGTAGGAACAATATCCTAACTTCTCCCCTCATGCAGTTAAGGCTAGTTTTTCCTTAAAATATTCCTAGAAAGGGGCAGCTAGGTGGCGCAGTGGACAGAGTACTATCCCTGGAGTCAGGAGGACCCAAGTTCAAATCCAGCCTCAGACACATAACACTTACTAACTGTGTGACTCTGGGTAAGTCACTTAACCCCAACTGCCTCCCCCCCCCCAAAAAAAATGTTACTAGAAACCTGTTTGGCTTAAGGGGCAGCAGGCACAGATGCAGGCCCAGCAGATCCCAGCAGCAATGGCAACTCAGTGTCAGCATAAAAGTAGCTAACATTTCTACAATGCTTTAAGATTTGCAAAGCACTTTCCAAATATTATCTCATTTTATCCTCACAACCATCCTGGGAAGTGGATGCTATTATTATCTCTATTTGACAAATGAGGAAACTGAAGTTGAGAGACATTAAATGACCACCCTACCCACAGTCACAAAGCTATTAAGGGTCTGACATGGGATTTGAACTCTTGTCTTCTTGACTCCAAGTACAATGCTTTTACCCACCATACCACCTATCTGCTGAAGAGTGGATATCAGTACATGAAGTACAAAAGCCAAGCCCACTGTAGCACACTACTTACTGTAATATAAAAAATGGCTGGCCTTTTCACATGGCAGCCAGTGTATCACCCAGTGATCATGGTACAACTCCTCCCCAGGAAAGCTTGGAAGAGCAAAGGATAGCATTGTTAGGGAGGGAGCTTGCTTTTTGGCAACAAGAGGGAGGTAAAAGTGTCTAACCAGCCTCCACGGAAGAAAAAGAACAGTCACTCAGAGGCCTCTCATAAGGTAAAGATTCTGCATTTCACCCCACCCCCTAACACAAGGCTCCCAAGGTATATGTGTATGGTGGGGGGGGGGGTCTTGATTGGTAAACCAGGAAACATTAAGTGAGTAGTGGTACAGGACAATTATTTCTGACCTGTGATAAAGTTTGATAACTATATAGGAAGTGTCATAATTTTTGCTGTAGCCCTGATTTCTCTAATAATGCTGCTGCATATGGTCACCTTTTTACATTGAGAGACCTGCTGTGAACTGTAAAGATCTGGCATCACTCACCACATAGATCTGACTGGTTAGACCTAGGATTTGAGCATTCCTGGGACTTCCCCAGATTTGGTCACTACTTTAGGAAACTGTTAGTTTAATATTCTCTCTTCCTCTTTCAGTGCTGCCTGTATCAGGCTTCTTAAATACTGGAGGTCAAGGTTGACCAGTAGTCATTTAAATGGTAGAAGATCCTCTAGAACAGTGATGTCAAACTCATAAAAACAGGGGCCACTAAATGGTACACAAGAATCTACATAATGAGCTATATTATAACGACTTAGAAATCTACCTGTCTATTTTTTTTATTAATACATCAATACATTAAAATCAGATGGAACTACAATTTAACCTACTTTGGGCCACATTCAGGAGTGTTGTGGGCCATGAGCTGCCCTCAGACCTTTTGTTTGACACCTCTGCTCTAGAAGATAAGGACCTTACCACCAAGGGGTGGAGTATGGTAGGAGCGATATCCTAACCCCTTCTCCCATGTAGGTTTGGCTAGTTTTTCCTTAAAAGGTACTAATACTTGGTTGGCTCAGAGGACTAAAGGCTCACACTGCTGATGTCACTTCCTTATCATTTGGGTACAAAGCAACCATGAGGACCTGGAAGGGTTTCAGATACTTCACAGTTTGAGTGTGACAGGAGCTTTGCTCAGCTGAATCAAATCAAGGGATTCTCAACGATTATCCTTGCTTTACAGCCTTCTCTTGCTGTTGTTAAAAAAATCTTTTGTTAACTGTTGAATAACCTGTGAATGTCTAATTTTGTCTCAATATCAAACCCAAATTACTAGAGGATTAGCCTGAGTCAGGCTCAGCCCAGAACCCATGGGAAGTGTATAATTTCAGACTTCTTAAAAATATATTGGTTAATCTTGCTCAACTACCCTCTACCCCCATCTGACCCCTCTCTCACCCCACCTTTCAATTCTTTATTTGAAGAGATGGACAAAGTGGAGGGAGGGATACATCAGGAAATGAAGGTGATATAAAAACAAAAGATGCAAGTAAAATAAAAACTTTTTAAATGCAACAATAAAACCTTTAAAATACTGTTAAAACTGCTAATAGTGCTATTAAGTGTAAGGGTCTGTTATTATTAAGAGCCCCAAGAAAGCAGCTTCCTAGTCACTCCTCCCTCCAAGAAACAGCTTCAGAGTCCTGTGAGTGGGAGGCTGAGAGGATTGCCATTCTGTGGGAGGTAGAATAATTATAAATTCAGAGCTAGG